AGCACACTTGTTTATTTCAATTGCCTAGTAGTGTCCACGTAATGTCAAGTGGTTTTAGCAACATATTGATTGGTAATCCAAAACACAGCTAACACTGCTACCACACATTAACTATCCAGAATTGTAACGGATACTTTATAGCAAATAAAGAAAAGCTATGAAACTCCAGCGTATTCAGGTACTTCTAACCAAGCGCCTCCCGAAATGGTGATATTGCTGACATTTAAGAAACTGCAGTATATCCCCACTGCATTTCTTAATCATGTATTTTTTTGTATATTGATTACGGGTTGCCGTATACAGAGAAAATCAAGGTAACCAGGAAAACATCACATCTTGGCATTCCCTATTGTTTTAGGGTAACTAGAATTGAATAAGACGAGGCAGCTTCCTGTCTGCTCAATTATCTGTTTAAAGTGAGGACATGAACTTCACTGCTGTTTTAACTGACTGAGGATAAGTATTCAGAATAAGGTCAATTGTTATGATAAACACTTACTTTTTCCAAACACTTTTGTCGTCTGTCAACCTCTCATCATTTATTGCTCTATAAGAAAGGAAAAACACAATTATTTTTGGTTTTTATCAAAATTGTAAATGATCTATTGTAACTTTAAAATGAACTTTGAATCTTAAGTTACCTGAGTGTCTGACTCTTTCTCACAGCCTCCTGCAGCTCTAACAGACGCTGCTTGTATTGGTTTTTCTCCATGACCACACGAGCCATTTCAGAACGAGAGAAGTGGCGCATGGAAATGGGTAGAGAGGCCTGATTGGAAAGATTTAAGCTATTAAATCAGGTATAAACATTATTTCGTACATGATAATAAACACTGAGCAGCTACTGGATTATTAAAAAAAAAAAATGCAGTTCTACTCTTGCTGCTTGATTTACAAATAGATAGAAAAATATATATATCTCCTCACATCAGGATCCTCAGATTGGCATGTTTCCAGTTCTTTCCGAATTCTAAGAATGGATAAAATAACACAAAACAATGAAATCTAATATTCAAAAGAGGCAAGGACTTAACAATCCACATTAACATTTAAAAACATTTCACACCTCTTTGTTTCCTCCTCCTTCTCCTTCATCCGCCCCTCCAATCGAGAGGCAGTTTCCTGCAGAGACGTCACCTCCAGTTTAAGAGCTGAGCGGTCGTCAGTCAGCTCCACTACCCGAGATATCAAAGCCTTACGGGCAGCTTCTACTAACTCACTGAAAAACAAAGAAAAAACAAAGCGAAGATGAATAATTTAAGAATATGAAGACATCGAGTGAAACATTTCAACACATTTGTGAAATTCTCTCCCCTTAGAGATTTGTTTGTACTGAAGTGTTTGGAAAATCCCTTGCACAGAGGACAAGTCATTACACGGCTAGAGAAAGTAATTATAGGACTCACTGGGTGACTTTCAGTTCCTCATACTGACAAAGAATCTCCTCAAACTGGTCTGCACTGCCTACACAGAAAGAAAATACAAAATTAAGTTTGAACACACAGAGAATACTTAGAGAAATAAATTTATTTATGTCTGGTATTTCCGTTTAGTCTTAATTTACTCATATACAAATACAAATACATGGAAGGGTGCAAAAAACCACCTTCCTAAAAAAAAGGAAGTATGTCCTTTGAAACTTACAGCAAGAAACCACTTTCACTTATGTACTTGCACTTCATGTAAATAGGGTATAAATAGATTCTGACAACTTGCAGATATTTCTGGCTACATAAGCCAACAACCTTATGTACTGTAAGCTTTGATGTCTGTGATGGATTATTATTGTATGCTTTCATGCTGCACAGAGCACAACATAGGATTTGTATTAAATGTGTTGTCAAGACAAACAGAATGTAACATCAACTACGTTTGAGAAAAGGGTCTCTCAATGTGTGTTTTACCTCTGACACTGGCCCCTCGGTCTACACTCTCCACATAGTCCCGACTCAGCTCCGACAGCTCAGAGAACACAGAGTCAGTGTTGCGCAGATCCCACTCCATACTATCATCTTCGTCCTCCTCCTCTTCCTCCTCTTCTTGCTTGTCCTTTCCTTCTCCTCCCTTCTCCTCTTCTACTTTGCACTCCTTCTCCTCCACCTGCCTCATCTCTTCCTCCACGCTGGTTTCCAACTCGTCTCCCTCTTTGCTGTTCGGTCTGACCGGGGTGCTGATGAAGATGCAAATGAGAAGAAGAATGGAATGTGAGGAAGGTTTGTGAATCGTTGATGTGATGCTTTGTGTAAACATGAGCTAAAGTGAGCTTGGTTTTTGTTCATGATAACACATACTTTTTTACTAAAATCTCCAACTGACATACAATAGTTGTATTACCTTGCATCCCCACTGCCATGAAAGTGCCTGAGCTCTGGAGTGGAGCTGATGATGTCATTGATAAACTGATCTGGGGCGGGCTTTCCTGAGATGTTAATCGCATTTTCTTTTTTGGGAACTACATGTTCCAAACAGGGGGGACCAGAAAGTGAATGGGGTCTTTGAATCATCTGCAATAGAAAAGATGGAAATTAACAGCTACTCCTCCACAAAAGCAGTGTGTTACAATTTATATATTGTGTAGTTAAAATGTGTAAAGTGAGAATATGTTTACCTTTTCATTCATTCTGGCTTCTGATGAAAATTCAGCATTCTTCAGACGAACATGATTCCTAAAAAGCAACATGCAGTGTCACAGAGTCAAGAAAAGTCCTATCAGTCACTATCAATCTCTTCTTCATTCTTACAATTTGCACCACTTTCTGGCAGCTCCTCCAGGGCAAACACTGATATTATATTTAAATAAAAAACTCAAAGATTAGAAGAGCTTTGCATAAAAGACTAGTTTACCAACAAAAAAACATGGGTAATCGACTAATTTGTCAAAAAGTTGAACTGAAAAACAAAACCTAATTTAGATTTGCAGAATGGTCACAAACTGCCGTTTCTCAGTTACTAACACTGTACATCTATGTGAAGGTAAACAGAGATACTGCTTCACTACTGCTCTGTTGTGCAACTGTCAAGGTAAAGTTCAGGTTGTTAGTTTGGCCTTCAATAAGCTGCCGTCATGGAATACTTTGAGCCTTGCTGTGAGACACTATCAACAGTAACGTGCTTAACAAGAACAACCTTAAAGGAGAATCTCTCTCAGAATCCTTTCTCTTTTCCAAAAGGTCCCGATATGTGTGAGCCAGCTAAAACAGAAAACATCAGTAACATGTAAGAAACAAAGAAATGACAACAAAAACCAAATATTAGAGAAGAGTGTTCTGAGTACCAAAGCACCATTTGTGTTTATTATTATTTAAACAAATGTTGATATACAAATGATCATTTTGGGGTATTCCTTTTAGAAGTTACTTCGGGGTAATAAAAGAGACAGCAGTATCTGACTGACCTTGTTGTGGGTATTCCTCGAAGTGTTCAATTCTCTATTCAGATTAGCTTTTTGCTCCTCCAGGGCCACCACTGGAAGACATAACAAGCCGCTTCAGAGTGACTATCTACTGATTCAGGAACACCGAAAGGTTTGAAGTATAAATTCTTCTTGTCATGAAATAAACAAAACATTTCAATTTAATAAACATGGTCCTTATAACATTTCTAACTTTTAATAGTTTTATATTACATTTTTCACTTACACTGATCGGCTTGCCCTCTTGCTTTCTTCTCTAGCTCTCTCTCTCGCCGCTCTCTCTCCTTTTCCCTCCCCCTTATGGCTGTCCTCTCTTGCTCAAATTGGTCATCCAGCTCCAGGTACCTCTAAAGAAAAAGAAATGCGTTTAAAGCTCTGAGCACAGACAACCTCTTATTTTCAAAGCTTATAAAAAAAGAAATTGTAATTATCGTTTACATTAAAACTTTCAAATCTCCCATCAGTCCCCACCTCTTGACTTTCTTTCCTGAGTGCTTTCTCTGCTTGGTATCTGTCCAGCAGCTCTTCTTTCTCAGCCTTCTCCCTCTCCGCCTCCTCCTCCCGGTCTCTCAGCTGGGCTTTGCAGCCGGCCAGCCCCTCCAGGACCCACACAAATATGGGGACCAGCGACTCCACCACACCTTCTCCATGGGTCTCAATAACCGTCTGTGATGGGGCAAAGCAGCAGAGAGGTAAACCATTGAAACATTTCAATTGTTTTCCTAAGAGAATGGGCCTTATTTACCACTTACTTATATTGAGATAATGTGTTTTTTTTCTTAAATTGGTTCTTAAGGGATAAAAGTCTGTCAGATTCATGACTAGCCACAGATTAGTTGGCCAGTTGATCCTAATAAGCATTTCACTCCAGCCAAAGGCCATAAAAGGGCTATGCGCACGTCCAAAAAGTTGTCAAAAACCATTAAACAAACAACTAAAATGGACAGCAAATGTAAAATAATCCAGTAGTTTTGAATTTGAGGTACCCCAGCATGAAGTGCATCAAGGGTTGCATCAATATTAGGTAGCGTATATTATTATCTTACCCAAGAAGAACTGCAAAATAAGACAGAAATGGTCAATGTCAACATCTTTGTGCGTAAATGGGTTTAAAAAAGAAACGTGTTTAAAATAACGGTTGATAAATTAGGCCCATTTTTGGTTTAGAAAGGAGAAAAAGTTTTGTAGCTGCTTTACCTGTAGCTCTGAATACAGTTTTCCAGCCTCTTCACTCACAATGTTGGGGTCCAGCTCCACCTCCCCTGACCCGCACAGCACTCTTTCACTGTACTCCATCAGACTATTAGTTTAATCTGCCTGAATTACCTGCCCAAACGGTTCCCCCTCCTCAACAGGAGGTCAACTATTTTAGAAGTCTATAAGCCAATTCTGTTGCTGTCCAGACTACACTTTCTGACCGACTCCTACAACTAGTTTATCTGGCTTTCTAACATTTCTGCTAACCCCAGCACCTTCCATCCTTTATGACTTAATGTTTTGTTTGTCCTTGACAAGGGGAAGCATCATTTTAGACTGCATTTAACTATTCGTTCTGTACTGTGAAGTTTGTCTGGTGTCAGGGGGAGTTTTAGAGTCCATCCTGGGAAAGAAAAGAAGAAAAGATTATGAAATATAAAAGGAATGGATAAACTGCCGCTAAGTCGCAAAAGGACAGTCAACTGTTTTGTGCAACAAGTAAGATTAGACATGCATTTTTTTCATTTTTCCAAAGAATTACCATAAGCCTATTAATTTTTTAACATGGCCATGTGGTTTTCTGCTATTATAATCTGTGACTGACATCATTTGTTTAACAGGAAACAAAATACAAAGTGACTGCTCAGTAAGGATGAAATTAAAATGAATCTGGCTGGTTTTACACCACAGTTTCAATTACTCACAATTCATGGCAAGACAGATATATATTTGAAGGTAACAAAAGCAGACACAACTTAATTGTATAAAGTTATATTGGGTGAATACATTTGAATACAATTCAGCAAGGACTTTGATGAAAACATAACGTTCTGCTTTATCTGTCTTGTGTGATAGTAATCTGAATATGTTTGAATTTTTTCTTGAAAACTGACTTAAATTATTAATCGATTATAAAATGAGTTGCAGATAATGTCCTGTTATAACTGTAACAAGCACTATCAAGTTGTCCCATGAAGCTTCAGGGATTGTGTTGGGATTTGTTTTACTATAAAATATAAAATACCTGCCAGTTTAACTGTAACTGAGGTGAAGGCATAACAAACATATGTATTTTTTAAGGCATCTAATGAAAGAATGTAGCTCTTAAGTTGCATGTAGATCATTAATAGTATGTTTATGGTTTATGCTCTTTGGCTAAAGAGTCTCCTTGATGTAATGTGGCATTTAATCTACCGACACAATAGGAATTTTCTGTTAGATCTTTATGTATCTTTAATAAAGATTGTGTAATGTGTTGCACAGCAGAGCAACACATTACTGTGTGTTTATAACTTTATGTGCCACAAATAGCCCACAAAAGTTCAAATCTAAATTGAAATGTAAACAACTGAAAATAGCTACAAGTAGTGTATGCAACGATAATTTAGCAAGTGAGCCTTCGTATTAGGCTAAGATAAATGAAAACCATGGTAAAGGACACACTTGAGTTGAAATACTGTATAAATAAGTAACATGACTGACAGTGGACACCTTGAGAGATATCTGAAAGAAAGATTACAATGCTGTAACTTAAAGAAAGAGCCGAGTTGTCGCAATGCTCGGCTGTTGTTTTACAAACTCACCCTCTCGGTTTAATATTTCACAACGATCATGTCAGTGCACCAACATAATGAAAAGCCAGTCGTTTTTTCTTCGGGTCCGATATCAATTACACATAAACGAGTTTGGAGAAGGAGGTGTTGTTAGATTCTGACTTGCTTGTACATGTCCTCACTCCGACCAATCAGAGCGCTGCATTTGTCAGCAGCAACCAATGGGCGGGAAGAAGAGGCGGGACGTGAGCTGTTCTGTTTTCAGAAGGAGAAGAAAAGTTTCCTGAAACTTGAACGGAGACACGTGACAAGCGGGATGTCAGGTGATCTACTAATGCACAACTCTGATACCTGTCGAAATACCTCACATACCTGAAAACATTATGTTCTCTTTTCTCATGTCATTCATAAAAACAATAGTTTATAGTTAATGATGTTTGTATTTTGAGCACTGTTGGTGTCTGGTCTTTATTGGCTTACATAAAATAATAGCCATAGAAAACAGTTTGGACAAGGGGTCGAGATATGACAACTTTTTCACACATTGAGTTGCACAAGAATAAAATAACATGAAGGCATATTGTAAAAGCAAAGAGAGGATTTGAATGTATCTACAGTTCGTTTTGATTCCAGCAGATGGAGGTATGAACACATTTCCACCTCTGGGTCTTCTCTCTGCTCTCTTTTTAGTTTCTGTTATTTAATGTTACTGGTTTCTGTTTTGTTGGTCTAGACTTGGCAGCCCTCTAACATATGAATCAGTCCTGCTTTTGTGACATTACTCCTTTATATCTTCCTCTCTGGAATGTATTATTAATTCTAATAACGTACGACCTGAACCTACTATGTTTTCAACATTCACCTTTACAAATATTTGTATGAGACAGCTAAGCTTTTGCAGCTACACAGTAGAAAACAAACCATAACACTAGAGAAAAATAAATATAATTGTCCTGCCATGTCAGATTAATGTTTAAACAATATTTTACCACTCTTTTGCAATTTTTCACAATTTCAAATGTATCCCAGTGAAGGCTTAAATGACCAAATCAACCTCTAAAGAAAGGTGTTTGCTCACTTTATATGCACCCACATTTTGTCCCTCCATCTCTGTTCCAAAAAAAACAAACATTAACATGTACTCCATTTATTACATACTCAACATGGTCCGCCTACATACATGTAAATTGCAGCATTGACAACAAAAGAAAATACAGGCGTCAATAAAAAACAGTGTAGTGGAAAGGAGTTGGCTAATACTTAGTGCTATGCTACTATATAGAGTAGTGCTGCTGAGTGTGACTGCTGTTTCCAATGTGTAAAGGGAAACATAGTGAAGTAGCTCAACCTATTTAAATACAAAGATATAAATTATGATTTGATTACCAAAATATATACGTCACCTTTAAAACATAATCACGCTATTAAAATGTCTAAAAGTAGTTACAAAGCTAGCATATAGTTAGCTAGGAGTAGTACATAAATGGTTGAAATAATAGCTAAAAGTAATGGATAAACATTCAGCTCCAACCATTGCTATGACACTTAAAAATAATCCAGTGTCAAATTGGTTCAAATGAACACAATTCGAGCATCACAGGTAGTGTAGATGAAGGGGTGAGTTCACCTGACCTTGGGGGTTATGTCTGACAACAAAGGTTGGGACCCACTAAATTACAGTCAGATTAATCAATGTCAATAATTCTTAATTAAACTGTGACTTTTTTAATTACCCTCCCACTCTCTACAAGAACCTCTTTTCCATCCTCTCTCTCCGCTCTTTTGTTCTCTCTCTTCTTTTTTGTCAGGAGATAAAATACCACCACACCTCCCACCACCACAAAACTGAGGGCCAGAATCACAAATCCCAGCCACAGTAAGTGAGACGTTCCTCCATTAGAGAGGTTCAGTTGGTCCCAAATCCCCACTGCCACACAACTGAAGCCGATCAGAGTTCCCCAAAAACCAAAGGCCAGCATGCAGGATCCACAAGACAGCTCCACGCCGCCGGTCACCACGGTGATGCCCGCCACTGACACAACCCCTCCTGGTAAGGTCACCGTCTCAGATTTAGGGTCGTAGCTGACAGTAGAGGTGACATCGGATAGAGTTGAAGGATCAAGCGTTCTCATCTTGGTTGTCATGGTTGATTTTAGTTCCTTTTTTCAGATGTCCCAAAGTGATTTTGCATGCAGCTTCTTTATTCTCACTCCTACAACATGAAACATAGTTTGAAAAACACTAAGGATCCAGATTTCCTTATATGATTTACTTGTGTAGCTTTAAGTTTCGAGACACATCTTTAAATTAGGCCTACTTCCAACTAAGCTGTTATGTTTACGTCCAGGACATTTTAAAAACATGTCATTTTATTCGTCTTGCATAATTTACACACTCGAGAAAATACAGGAACTTTGGGGTCTCCATTTCAACTTAAAATAAAGGTCTTTGGGTCTGACAGCATAATGATTGGGGGGCTGGATATACAAAAAAACTGAATAATAATAATGTTTTATCATTAGTCGTTTAAATGGCAAGCGCCAGATATAACTCTAAGTTTATATACAAATACAGTTTGCATCTGTTTTCTCTGAAGATAAAACACTGCTGGATAACTATACTGCTACTCGGTTTAGAAAACTGCATAAGCCATACTCTTTTCAACCCATAGACAATACAATTGTCTCATGCAAACATATTGAAAACTAAATCCAAAATTAAAACCAATATCTTTTTTTTTACCATAGATACATATCTTTAGTTTTTAAAATGAAAAAGTAGGACCCTTGCTTACACCATAAATAAAGACGGATTACTAAGTAATTGTAAAGAAACGATGTTATTATCAATAACTTTATAGACTAAAACATTGTCTTGTATAAAAATGAAAGCCTTGCTTACCTCAGTTTTGAATCAGGGACTCAGATCTCAGGGGAAATTGAATTAGGTGAAGGTCCTTTAAATTCATAGACGTGATTTGTTTTTGTCCATGAATGTAAGTGATTTCAGTGAAAGCCTGCAAATGCTGCCGACTTTCTCTCTGGACAATGGGTGGAGAAATGTGAGCGGGGGCCCAGAGAGCTGTTACCTTTATCATATACGTCACAACCTGAGGCCTCACAAGATGGTGGGCACAATTGTCAAGATTGTTGTCACTGTTTGTTTGTTCCTCTCTTTCCTTGTGTTCAGTAGGAAACTCTTGTCTGTCATTAAGCATCATTATAACCCATTACCAGATATTTATCTAAGAACAACTCCCTTCCTCTTTTCCTCTCTCCTTCAGTCTTAGGATTTGAGTCGGGTCCCACCAAGGCATTGTTTGGGCTGAGAGCGGATTTTTCTTTTTCAGCATTTTCCTGTTAGACATTTCCATTTCTGTGGTCATTGGTAGCAAGTTGTATAGTTTTTCATCTGTGCTTTTACTTCTAAAACATTGAGATGAGTATTTTAGTATTCAACCTTATGACTAGCTTGCAATATCATTGAGATTAAATATTATTGAGCGTTAAAGTTTTACGAGGAAAAGTTGAAATCCAGGGTTTAAAAAAAAACAAATAAAGGTATATTATTATTTTTTGTACAATATACCAAGTGCTTAACACGGGTGAATAACTATGCCTGATCTCATAACCCTGAGCAAGGCAGATTTACAGTATATATGTCAGTGATGATGTTGAGGTGGATCGCAGGTCTAGGGTGTAACACAGGTGAAGATTGATGTCGCCACATAATTGGTTGTAATGCTGCCCAGCCAGCTGGAATGTTGCCAATTGCCAGTCATTGACCTCATTTCAGATATCTCTAGCTGTGTTTACTCCTACTGTCAATAAACTTATATCTGTTGATGCACTATTTAAAGGTCCCCTATTATACTGTTTTTCATCAATATATTATAGGTCTCAGATATATACAAACATGTCTCTGAAGTGTTTGACTCCAAATACCAAACAGATCATTGTAGCATCCCATAAACCCCTCTGTTTCAGGCCTGTTTCAAAAGTGCTGATTCTCTGTCTGGTACTTTAGATGAAAATAAGGAGCCACTCCCCACGCCCCTCTGAGAGATTTGGTTAAAAAGAACACAATGGTGCTCTAGGAGGAGATTCCTGAGATTTTCCTGAAACTTTCAGAATCTCTTTACACTGAGGGGACACTTCTTTATGTATAAAAGACAAGAAAAAGTGGATTTTGCATAATAGGTGACCTTTAAACAAGTATTATATGTTTGCCTGCTAAGTAAATGTATATCCTATTTATTGTTGCAATACATTTGTGTGTTAAAAAATTCATAATTTCTTTATTAAAAAAGTGTAATTGTTGTGCTTATGCTATAGTTTGTGCTTAGATATCCACTTTATATGAACCCTCACCTTCACCACAGGAAGAATGACATTTCCAAAAGGACCTCAAATCCCTACTTGCACCAGCTCTAGCAATTAGTCGAGCCTAGGGTACAGGTCAGGTGTCAGAGAGTGACGAAGTAATTCTATTGGGCAAGCACTGAAGGGATAATGATGATGCTAAGTGGCTAAGGGTTGGATTGGGTGGGACGCAGTGGGTCAGGGTAATCCAATAGATGGACTCATGAGCATCTTTATGGAGCAAAGACCATCCTGATGCATAAATAAGACATGAAAGATAATCATACAGTGTTCAAAACTGTTTGACTATGCATTCATCTGTCCTGTTTCAGTAAAATGACCCTTGTGCAAATGCCCCCACCTCCATGCTGAGTTTCTCAAAACAAACAGTTAAGCAAGTCAAGATAATTATTTCAGTCTATTCAAAGCATACACAAAGGAAAAAGATTGCTGATGTAAATGTGTCAGCCAAAGTGTTATATAGTGAGTTTGATGTGATGATGTAGGGAGATGGCTGTGACGACTAGGATGCAACCAGATAGGCCCAAAGGACTGGAACTGAGGAAATGGGTATAAATGCTCCAATAAGTACAAATGAAGACACATTAAAGAGTATGAATGTTTGTGTCAGTTAGTTTGAATAACAGGAAGCATTTTGGGAGGAAAAAATACACTTTGTGGATGGAAAATTCAAATCCAGGACCAAGAAAGGTTTAAAAGAAGGACAATATGGCGGCCAAAAAGCAAAAACACAATTATGCAGTATATTACACTTTTGAATTAAGAAAAGGCAGGCACAACTTTTAAACAATCTGCCCAGTAAAACCCAGGTTAGAGACAAAAATGTATTTTAAAGGTCATCCCTGACATTGGATGGAGGTAATTTACAATGCCTTTAGTGTGGATGTGAGAGGGCGTAGGTGGGATTTAAGGTGAGGGGGAGTTAAACTGCCTGGACAGATGGTAGTCTGGATTAGGTTTCAGTAGTCAACTAAACCCATTGAAAGGCCAATACAGAAAAAAGCAGACATACAGTGAATGAACTAATGCTAGGTTTAAAAAAAAAAAAAGACACCTGGAGCGAATTTTCTTGTCAGTTTATAGAAGTAATGTTTAAGTTTGTAGCTTCTTAAATATTTCTCAATTCATCAAAAGGGTTGTAAGCACAATGAAACAGTGAAATGCTTAAAATAAATAAAGATTAGTGTTGGGGAAATATTTTCCAAGGCCCATAACTTTGACCCAGTTTATCAGTTCATATTGTCCTGACTGATCACACGCACCTGTAACCTTGGCTGCTGTGCTCTCAGTGTTTTGTCTCCCTGTTCCTGCCTGTTGGCGTCAGCTGATAGAGGTGTTATCATTCTATCTTGTTATGCACAATGTTGATTATTCTCTCTGAACTAGCTAAATACATGGGCCTGGGGTAGAGTTCTTCAGAATTTACGTGGCAACTCTACCGTGAAGTCAGAACCTCTGGCTCTTGGACTTGTTTTGTGAATTCTCTGGCCGAAGCTCGTAATAAACCATCAGTTTTTGACATCTAAGCTCCAGCTCTCCCCGTGTCTCCTTCCTGAGTCGGTGACTCCCACTGCATTGCTACACAGAAGTTTCTCCCACAATTAGTATCTAAGTAAAGTAAAACCATAAACTTCTTAGACGGGAGGCATACCTCAGAAATCATAATATTCATAAATAATAAACAAAGGATTAAACTCAACAATCTCATACTAGATCTTTCTAGACTAAGAGACCCAATAAAGAAAAGTAGGCTCAGCCACCTTAAATCCCGCATTAACAGAATTAACCCTCTCGCCCATGGGAGGCATGCGTTGCCCCTGCCCTCCTTATCTCTTACTGTCTTACTTGTTGAGACACACGCTCAAATCTTCAGCCATCATCTGCCGAAACAACACACAGGTGAGCTTTCCCTACAATCCTCACTCTGCTATTTATTGATACGGAAGTTTAATCTATTAAACTCATTTCATTAGTGGACGTTACCATATGCGTTTTTTTCTTCTTCTCTGTTCTCTTTGGCCTCTAACATCAACAGCAGAGGTCAAGCCAGAGGAGAAATAGTTGAAACAAAGGAGAAGTCCAAGTGGCACAGGAGAAATAAAACTCCAGTGGCAAATATTTGCCAGTGAGAACTGACCCTGAAAAACTACCATGGGAAATTCAACCAGTAGCGCATTATCGAAGGAGATCCTGAAGGACCTGAAGCTCACCACACACTTCGCTGAGGATGAGATCTCCCAGTGGTACGAGAACTTTCAGAAGCAGTGCCCGACAGGACGCATTACACCAGAAGAGTTTGAGCAGATCTACGCCCGCTTCTTCCCTGACAGCGATGCAAAGAGCTACGCACGACATGTGTTTCGCTCCTTTGACACAAACGACGATGGCACCTTGGACTTCAAGGAGTACATCATCGCACTGCACATGACCTCCACTGGGAAGACGACCAGGAAACTGGAGTGGGCCTTCTCGCTGTTTGACGTGGACAAGAACGGATACATCAACAAGACAGAAGTGACGGAGATCTGCCAGGTGAGGGGGGACAAGCAGTGGGATGTTGCCTTTTCTAAACATTCATCTCATCTGTTGGAGAGTAGTTCCAACTATGTTGACAAGGAGTGCTAAAGAGAGAAATGTTATTTAATTTGACCATAATGTTCATCTTTATTGCTGCTACGAGAGAATGATATCAGATTTAAGCTGTTTCGTTGCACAAGGTCTTCAGGGAAATGTCTTATTCAGTTGTCAGCGACAACAGAAAGACCAAACAAGAAGATTACTTGACATGCAATCTAATACAATAATCCTGTGATCTATACTACCTTTTAAGTTTACAATGTTTAGTTCTCTTTAACTTTTATGCTGGTGAGGCGTATTTTTTAACTCTGGTCATTTTATTTAAAAAGCCTTGGAGATTTATATTTGGTTGCATCTTATTGTCAAGTATTCCTGGTAGATCCTATAATATGAATTGCTATTTTTTGGAAAATGACCTTCCTTTTTATAGTATGTAGGTCTCAGTACTAATTGCCAGCCCATTTAGAGTGTCTATTTGAGCCTGATAATCTCTGTGATTATGAAGGCAATCCTATTCTTAAACAAGACTACTCATGTATTGCTTTTCCTAAAGGGGGACTGCTCGTCACCCCTGGGTCTAATCCACGTTCCTTTGATTCATGACGTTGCCACTTTGAACTGATTTATTTATATATAATAATTACAGTAAAATAGTTGTTTCCCTTTGTTTTCATAAAATCAAAACTCAGTCTTATGATGATTACGTTTCTTACCTTAAGACAAATGTTTTAGTATGGTAAGAGGTTTAAACAGATCAGACGAGTATCCAGTTGGCAATAATAATGTGATTGAAATCCTGGCCAACTGGTCAGACTCCAATTGCATCACGTTTACAACCACTGCACTAACAAGCTACGTTTTATACCAACAGCCTACAATAGAATTATTCGTTGTGAAGAGGTTCGCAATAAACAGATCTGCAACATGCTTAGAAAATAACAATACTATTACAGAAAGATAATCCATTGGTATTTGTTTTCATTGGTAGGTTTAAAGTGTGAAACAAGTGAGTGAGGAAGGCAGGACTTGTCACACATTTTATTTGGTTTAGTCTACTATACTACACTAATATCGTAGATTATTTTAGGAGAGAGTCAAAATACATTGAATTTTTAAGGCAATGTCAGAAATATTCAGAGGCAAAGGGCAAATCTGCCAAATCGTAGGTATCTTTCCCGATCAACACAATCAAAGTCTGTTCTTGTGTATGTAAATGACTCCAAATTATAATGCCAATTTATTCAAACTGTCCCTTTTAAATTGTTTTTCTCTACCTTGATTGAAAGTATGCTACTTTATATATCAGATCTGATTGTAATTATCTATAAGTGACCAGTTACTGATTGTCATCTGTGAGCCCACTTTGTGAACTATTCTGTAAAATGGAGGGACAGTACAGCGAGAGAAGAGATGTCATCATGGTGTTTGGCCTGTGGCCTGAGTCTTGGCACTAATCCATGTTAATCTAAGTGTCTTAAATGTGGGAGATGAGTGCTTCAAGTGCTTCAAGGCCTTTAAGTGGGACACACTTAAAGACCTGAACATAAAATGCACAGTCATTTACAAGTTATTTACAATCTGCTGGAATCTAGGTGGCATTTCCCTGAGGAATTACACTCCTGCTTTCTATGTAGTTTATCATGTATAAAATATCCTACATGGGTCTCCAGGATTGCTTTGTCAGCTGCAGCTGCCACATAATTGGCTTGCACATGTTTGTTTTATTTTCTGTGTGGACTTCCGTACATTATTTGTTTGAGAGAAATGAGGCAGCATTATCACCAATCTTTTACCCAACCCCCTCTCAGGCCATATTTAAGCTGATCCCAAAGGAGGAGCACGCCAAGCTACCAGAGGATGAGAACACACCAGAGAAGAGAGCCAACAAGCTGTGGGCTTACTTCGAAAAGAAAGACAACGGTAAAGAAAACAACACACATGTCTATGCATTGTGCCCCCGTGGTGCATGACATCTGTTCTTACCCCTGCATGTGTATGTTAGCAAAAGATGAATTCAGTGTAAGCTCTTAGTACCTTTCCTCAACAAATGTTCTTACATCCGGTACTGAAGATTACAGATGTTTGGCTTAACAATAATACAAGCAGTACATCCACCTGAGGGCACTTCCCCCCCCCCCAGTTACAGCATCAAATGTGTCATGCAAGCTTTACTATGCCAGCATTACACTTAAATTGACTCCACTGCCATGCACACACACACACACACACACACACACACACACACACACACACACACACACACACACACACACACACACACACACACAGGAGATAATCAGGATTTCTTAGATAAGATACAGATGTATAATTCAACCTCATCTTTACCCCTAACTCCTTACTGTATAATGTTTTTTACCGTTTTCTCCTGCTTTCTTTTCCCCCTCACAGAGCGACTGGCTGAGGGAGAATTCATCAAGGGGGTGATTGAAAATGAGAATGCAATGCGTCTTATCCACTATGAACCACCGAAGGAATAAAGTCATAACCATTTAATTCCCTCTCGTTAAAGTCTTTCAAACCCTTTTCCTCCTTGCTCTTGGATCCACTCCACCCCTCTGTGTAAATGCTCTTCCTGCTAAATATTGGTTGCAACTAACGTTTCAGTAAGTTTAGTTTATTTAAGGTTGTTTTACTAATGTTTGTCCTTTAATCGATATAATATTGAAGCTAAAAGAGGCCAATTAAGGCGTAGCGTTCTGTACAGGTAAAAAATAAGCTTTGTTGCTACTTCTTTTGTATGATAATAAACAATTCATAAGTATCATACCCGACAGGTTGCGTAACCCTTTCATGCATAGAGGTCACTACAGTGGACAGCTATTCAAAAGGTGTTTTCTTGTATATGCATTGTTTTTTTTTGCATAGTTGCACCATCAGCCACTACATAGGACCCTATTGCATCATCCCATACACTGCTATTCAGAGCCAAGTCAGTGTAAGTGCATGATACATGTCTCTAAACCAAGATGGACGACAGAAAGCCACATGGACCAAGTCACCCATCTATATCTTGCCAATCCTTTTATGGAAAGCGTCCCCTGCAGGTATAAAAAATGTGGTGACATCAAGTAACAACTAAGGAATCATATAATTCATAAATTATCAAAGTATTGAGTTTAAGTTTGCAGGAAATCATGATTAACCACCTGTCCACTACAGTGGACGTCATGCATCACTGGCTATTTCAACTACAATGAATACTGGTACTGCTGCTGCTGTACCCAGGGCCGTCCCTCCCTACAGGCAGATCATGCAGACTGTGTGGGGCCTCACCTTGTGGAGGGGGGCACACCTTGCGGAGGGGGGCCTCATCTGAGGCGCACCTATGCGCTTATGTGGCGCAATTAGGGTGGCGCGGCACGGTTTCGCCGCTGCGAGGCTCCACTAGCACTCATCAAATAACTGTGCGTGGGGCCTCAAATTGGCCCCTGGCCCTGGTTATTCTTGAAAATACTTCATCTGCAATATCTTTTTGGACCGTAAATCAATATACTTATGTTATTATAATGTAATTTTAAGTTTGCACATCTTTATTTATAATTTTTTCCAAATGTAAATCTCTGCAGTTCAAACCCTGAACGCATACTGTCGAGTGGACATATAAAAATCTCTTTGAAAAAACTAGATTAAAAAAAATTCAAATCTTGTTTTTCATGCCACAAGAGCAATAATAACACTTGGTAAAAATCCTGACTGAGGCTTTCATAATTCATGCATGAAAGGTATTATAGTTTTTTCTACAGAACTGGAAATGTCTACAAAAGGTTGTAGCTCTAACGTGTTGTACTGAATTCACTGTACAATAAATACATTAAAGGTTTTCTCATAAATCTGTGCTTAAAAATCGAGTTATTTGTCTCCCCCAGTAAACAGTAAATTCTTCAATGACCTAGAAACACACTGCATAATATGCTATAAAAAAATGGCTTTAAATTCTCAATTTTGTTGATCCCAGACATAAAGCCAGTGCTGTACCACACGTTAAACCGACAAAGATCTAAGGAACATATTGATGCATTTATTTAGAAATTGTTGCCTGTATAAATGTACATTCAACACAATTATTTCCCTGAAAGTGTGATGTTTCCATGGTGCAAATTTTTGTGTGCGGGTGCGTGCCAGCCTTAATTTCTTTCCAACTCCCCCCGACAACCTGCTCCCCCTCCACCTCTCCATCCCTTCACATGCTTCCCTCCTCCTTTCCATCCAACTCGGGATTACTGGTTTACACATAATCTTCTGTTCAACATCAGAGAGCAGACTTTTCAAAAGCTCTGTAATCTTTCAATCGCTATGTGTCTATCGTATGTGTCTGTGCATCTGCAGAGAAACTGTGTTTGATGTAGCTTCTGTTATGCGTGCATTGCTTCTAAAGTTTGTCACAAGAGACAGAGGAGATTGAAAAAGGAAACATGTTAAATGTCCCACTCAGATAAATGAGATTATATTGTATATTTACTATGAATGAACAGGATGATCTTTTCAACAGGAGAAGAAAAATCTGTCCTGTCTACACCTGATACATTGCGAGTTGATAAATAACCAATAAAACAATATAAACATGTGCCTTTGCAAATACAGACACACATTAACTTTTCCACCATGAGGCACTGAGAAATACCCAGAAACAATCTTGCATGTCAGTGTGACACACAGTTGTAGTCTTTACAGTTTCATTATGCATAGATTTCCGCGGCCTTCAAACGCAAAATGTGTGTTCCAACCTCACTGGAAAATGGAAGAAGAAGAAAAGAAAAACTGAATCTGTTTGCTCACATTCATCCCTTTCAAGCTCGGTGAAAGTCTCTTTCCTTTTTTTTGTTTTTCGGCTCTTATAAATTGATGGAAATCAAAGTTCCACTAACAAGGGGAATCCACTCGGTCCATAGCATCATCCATCTCTCTCTCACAGTCTTCACACCCTTCTGGCCCGCAGCCTCCTACTAAAACCAGTGTTGGTACGTCTCCATTTCCCATTCCCACCACGCTGCCATTCGGGGCCCACGCCACGTCAATCATGCCGTCCGGACACTGCAATAGGCCGCTGACAGAGTACAGCCCGCCCCCGGGAACGACCTCGTCGTAGGAAGGAGCATGAGTGGCGGCTCTCGCTTCCTCCAATCGGAGCCTCTGTCTGCGGCGGAGCTCGATGATGGTCTTCGTGTAAGAGTTGAGTGTGACCACCGCGGCCCCCATACAGCAACTGAAGGACACCCAGGCAAGACTAGGAACAGAGCAGATTTAGGAGAGTTAGAGACAAAAGAGAGACATCATGAATTGTAAATAACAAATATATGAATGTGTATTCTTGAATAATCGGGTGTGTATGCTGCCACCTACGCGAAAGACCAGCCATAGTCCCAGGACTGAGGCCTCCAGTCTTTGGGGCCAACGATGACTGTCATCTGGAACACGGTGGTGAACATCATGTGGGCCACCATCCCAAGAAGACCTACAGGGGTGTGAAACAAAACAGATCGAACCAAGAAAGATCACAATGCAAATAGAGAATGCTGTATGTAGAATGAGGAGGTTATAAAGTCAGTGAAAGATAAGTGATGAACTGAGCTTCACCTGATAACACAGTACAGATAGCTGCATAGGCATTGATCTTTAGCGAGTGCATCTCTTTATGGGAACACAAGACTTCCAGCCACATCAGTAAGAAGCCCATCCCCAGCAGACCGATGTACGTAAACTCTGAAATAACTGACAGCCAGAGCACACCTGCAACATTTAAAAACACAGGCACAATTGACACACTCACATTAATATGACAAATATTTTCAAATAAGGCCGAAATAATAATTTCACAAATCATTTTTTCAACCAATACACAACTCACCTTGTGTTTCCCCAGGCGTTAAATCTATAAAGCTTCGACATTTCTCCCCTGCCAGCCAAATTGTGAACAGATATGAAAAAATGAAGACAGAATTGACATTTTTCGTTGAATTCAAATCAGAAAAGATTTAGCAGAGAGATGAGACTGGAAAGAACCAATGAAAATCTAAGAAAGCTAAAAGAGCACGGAAATACTGTGACCTGATGCAAGTGTTAGCTCACCATCGTTGTGTGTCTCGCAGCTCTCCCAGAAACCAGTGTGGAAGTATCTGAAAGCAAACTTGTCTTCTCCTGTCTCCCATATGTACTGAACTGCGTTAGCCATCTGCCGCTGTCTGATCCGGGCCAGCTCGTCCCTCCGGGCCGGAGACAGGGTGCGGTTGTACGGGTTCTGAGTGGGACTCTCTGTGGGACAGCAAGAGGTGGACAATAAGAAAAAAAAACACATATAGGTTTATATCTGTGGCTGTCCATCCCTGTTGTGGATAATGGAGGTTGTGGTAACACTAAGTGCATTTAACCACGAAGATTACAATTATAACAGCAAGAAAATTGCCTTCAAATATGCAAAAGCTTTTCATGTGCTGGTGCAATATATAAAAATATAACTTCACACAGCATATTTGACATTTATATACATTTTTTATGCCATTCTTGTTTCATACACTAAATGTAAATAATATTTTGTATTGTGCCAGCTGTAATTTAGCCTGTCAATATTGTTTCATTTGGCAGATAGTTTAGATATCCTTTCTTCACGGTCAACTTTTTTGTTTTAGTTTCTTTTTGTTCTGTTTTATCTTCTATTTTGCAACGTTTATATTGTATAATTGTTTATTTTTTACTCTTTTTTTATTTCTAAATACGTGTAATACATTGTTTTTCATGCTGCTGCAATGAAAACTTTTCCAAATTTGGGATCAATAAAGTATATCTTATCTTAAGCCAAACCGTTTTAAGTGCTAAAAAAGGACCCTCTTCCTGTAGGGGAAACATTACATTTCCTTTTTATGTATTGGATGTGCAGGCATCAACAACTGTTGTTTAATACAGTACACGCATGACATGCACAGACACACAGTGTGCATACTGCATTTGCCCTTACACTTCAGAAATATCTAATAGCATCTTTGACAAAATATTAAGTTGTCAAAAAACGTAATGCATGAATTGTCTGAGAGGAGAATTACAAACACACATTTTGTTTGCAGCTTAACCCTGATTTTGTTGGAGAAAAACATGTTTTGAGTTTAGATTGAGAGACCGAGAGAAAATAATGGGCACAAATCTAGTTGGTTTCTCACACCATGGTCTCAAAAGTATCATGCCTGTGTTTTTCAGTCACATGCAGGCTTGTCAGCACCATGTCGTGCCACATGTGTTTGTATCAGTTTTAAAAACATAAGGGACAGTTAAAGCTACCACCGTGAAGACATTTCTGAACAAATACACAAAGTACATGTAGATGATTTTTTGATGCGGTAAGAGCTGTTAATCCCATTGTGGATTAAGAATATCTGTTGAGAAATAAAAACCAGGCAGCAGCCAATGTCCAATAAACCCTAAAACGTGGGATGTGCCATCACACCCCACAGATTAATACTACACCATAATTAAATTCACTGCGGGAAGGTATGTGCAAAAAGAGATTAAAAAAGAAACCAGGGACAATCAAAAGGGGAGAAGCCTGTGTGTTTATCCAGTGAGATTATTTTGAGGCATTGTTTCTGGTTATGCAGTAATACAGTGCTAGAATTCAATACTCATGTAATCAGGTTCAAAAGTCAAGGCCAAAGTTTTGGTGAGTTCAGCGCCAGAAAGCTGCATTTAAGATCTTCACATATTTTTGAAAGACTCAGAGATAATACACAATAACAAGCTGACCACATGCACAGACATTTAACTAAAATGTGATCTGATATACCATATATGCACACTGAACACACAAGATACTTTCAATTGCAGAGAAACATTTTGGTCCATCAACATGTAGGCTCATTCTTGACCTTGCTGAAGGCATTAGTTGCAGATGAAAGCAACAAAAAAACCTTAAGTAGTCCTTACATCTTGATTGCTTTTGTCAAATTATCTTGATGTCTTGATGTATAAATAAATGATAAAACTACTGTACCATTGGAATTAGAAAGTAGTGATTCTTAAAGCATCCCAAAAACAATGGTGCATTATCCTGCTGAGGGTATCTGTCTGAAACAGAGTAACCTGTGGCAATAATGTACAGTACCTGGTCAATAACAATGTTTCGACTATTGAGAAAGACTAGGAAAGCATCACAGACTGTTGATGCCAGGTATCCATGAGCTCACACTGTTTCCGACAAATGTCTTGTGAAATGCCCGTGAACGTGCCCCAACAGATATATGGATTATGTGGATCACAGGCAACTTTCTTTTGTGCCTTTGATGATCCAACTCATAGATGAATTCAATACGGCATGACAAGTATCTGTGCCCATGAATGTTTTGCTTATCAGTAATTGAATGTCTTTGCTCGGACTGCATACTTAGCTGTTCTGTTGAGACTATATTGATTGTCAGAACCAAGAGGGAGCTTTTTGATAACTAGAAAAAGTGTTCCTTTAAAAAGTGGGTATTAGGATACATGTAAATACACTCATTTGTATGTAATCACCTAACTAAAAGTGAAGTTAAAGTTACAGTATACATAAAGGAAGCAATAAAGAAACACAATAAAGCAATAGGAAGCAAACAAAGCTTCACAGAACACTTTGATGTGGAGAGGTAAACACATCTACCTGTGGTGTAAGGCTCGCTGTTGTTCTGACCACAGTTCTTCATTTTGACGGGCGACAGGCAGAGGGGCTTCACCACCTTGTGGGTGCCCTCACACCAGTAAGAGGTGCAGAGGGCCAGGATGGAGAGTGCCAGAGCCAGAGAGGTCAAGGTCAGGGAGAGCAGGGAGCGAGAGCGACGGGACATTCGCTCCAGCATGGCCACGCAGGAGAAGAGGGAGGCAGGGCGAGGCCAGCGAGAGAGGGGGGACAAAGTGAGGCAAAGAGGGGGGAGATGCTGCACGTGGATATAGGAAGAACAGGACAGAGGGTATAACTGCAGTCACAGATGGTGCTGGGAGGGCAGGGCAGATGTTTTGGGATGGTTTAAAGAGGTGATGAGCTGCCAGGTTTAGATGGAGAGAAAACAATTAATGTGATGTAACTGTTTAAACAAAAGATGACCAAACACAGCTGACAAAGCGATACTTTAAAGACAGATTGATTAAAAGATAGGATAGCGAGGGGGGGGGGGGAAGCTGGATAAGATGCTCTGAAGTTCATACATGTGGGAAAGAACAGATGGAACGAAAAATGAACAAGAGGGGATTTAGGTGGACGTTGGTTCGCTCCGGGAGAAATGCAAATACTCAACGGTATGCTGGACAGAAAGATTGAATGTGATATCCTGCTATTGATCCCTGTGGTGAATGATGGCCATACATCCCCTGACCTCAGACCCCTTTGTGCTCACTTTAAAGATCAATGCAACGCTTACAAAAGAGTTATAAAAAATGCTTGGATTTATCACTAAAATGTGTATGTCTAAGGAGATGGAGGATATCCTTAAACCCAATCCATCTCCTGGCAAGAAAGTAAGATTAAATGTTTAAATGAAACTACCAAGGCTAAAAACAGGGTCTTCAGATGGTGACATTTAAATGTGTTGATAAGAAGGGCTTAAGAAGGGTTTATGAAAGAATAATAATGCTAGTGCTATCCGGTGACCCCAGCTAATATCTCCCCTCCTCCTGATTAACACACTCAGGCCTGACCCCGCCTCTCATTATTAACTCCACTGTGGGACACTCAGTGGAAGAAGAGATTACTTTTCTTTTGATGAAATTATGGATAAACCACAGATCTAAATGAATGTTTTGCTAGTAATCCCTGATAATCTTCTTTTATCTGTTGGTGTTAGGTGTGTTTTAGTGTGAAGCGCATCCTGACCATGTCTGCTCTCTCTCTCTCATGCAATGTCTGCCTGTAAGCCCCCAGACCCTGAAACACAACAGAACAGAAGTTAAACAAGGGATAGTATAGAAATCTCTGATCTGCATGAAACACCTGCCAATGTTGGTTTCTAGAATCTGAATAAAGTTGATAATATACAGCACATAATACAAATACCTACATACACGTTAGGGCATTAGGATGCATAATGAAGAAAAACTACAATCTGTATGTTTAGTATATCGTTTTCTATTGACTGTATCTGTAAACATATTGTATTCTGTGTATCTTGATGTTATCTACAATATTTCCTCCACACTCAATACAATTTGTTCTCAATTAAGAACATTTCTCTTAAGCGTTATATACTGAACTTATATAGTGTGATCAAAATACGTTTGTTGGAGTTTATTCCATTAATGAATTCAGTGCAAGCTTATCTATAGATACAACGCGTTAACACCACTTTTACTATGTCTGACAAGATGCATTGACAGGTTTGTCTGTCTTTACAAATGTTAAGTAGCTGATTAGAAATGGTACCAGCACATTATCTGAATATCTGATATATGTACTAAGTGTATATAATAGTAGTAATGAGAAAAGCAATGCATATATATATATATATATCGCAGTTCTGTATTCTTAAAACTGTAAGTACTGGTTATTATTTTTGATTGTTTTGTTTGTAAGCCACAGAAAAAAGTTGAACATGTAAATTATAATTTTCCAGTTGGTAAAATCTTCATTTTAATAGTTGTATCCAACATCAGTCCAAAACCTAGAGCTACTCAATTAAAAACCATCATAAATACTTGACAAAAGCATCACATTTTGACATTTGAAATGCAGGTACCAGTAACTGGTATTTCGAAGTAAAGATTACAGAAATTATAAATGTTCTGTTGATTGACTAATCAATAGAGTCATAGTTATTTTTTTAAAGTAACAAGTACCTACCAAATATATTTTCCTTGTCCCTTGTAGCACTTCAGGGCAAACATGAGGTAACTATCAGGATGGAAAGGTGAAATAAAAAAGGTCCACTTGTTGCAGTCCTGTAAAGCTGCAGTCCTCTGTTATCTCTGCCCTGGTCAAGAGCCTTTCATCAAAAAGCTCCTTAAGTACTTGATTTTAGTCGCTCCATCTTGAACTGATTTTAAGAGTCACTAGCCTCTTGATCTTTTCCCTCAGTATCCGTCACTTGTGTTTCTCCTCCAGGATGAGTCAGTGATCCTTACCTCTCCAGTTGAGATCCTCCCTTTAATCCTCCTGGCCAATAGTCGGACAGAGATGCACCGATGGAGACTGTCTGTCTCCACGCCACTCTCTTTTCTGGCTTTCTTGGGAATTGATGTCACAACCCCATCCTGGATCGTGTAATCCCTCTAAGACCATCTGTTACTGTGGTGCCCTCTCTTTTCCCGTGTCTGTCTATTTTGAGTGGATGGTCCTTTGCAATCTCCCAAAAACTTTTGTTAAATGTAACTTTTTCTCTGTATTTATTTTGAACACTCAAAGTTTGGATAACACTGTGAACCATCTTATCCATAGGAATGGCCATTTCCTTTTTTCCCTTATCACCTTTACCGCTGTGCAAAGCCAGGTCTTGTGCCCAGTATTTTAATGTTTGAGTGATAACTTGAAAAAATGACAGAAGGAGCTTTACATAGTCACAATAATTTATTTACAATATGTATTTACAGAACAAACTGAATGGAAAAAAATATTGTGTGTTTGGTGGATGGATTAAAGAAAGAGTCAGGTCCAAAATAGAGCAGAAGAAACAGTTCAACCCCAGGCTTGAGATTTACAGTAATGTAGAACCAGCTTGTTATCACTGCCAAAACACTGAAAAAGAAAGAGAGAAAAATGCAGTAAAGGAAGTGATGTGACAGTACAGCTCAAACTACTTTGTACAAACTACTGTTAACTGTCCTATTTAATTGGATATTGAGCTGCAGAGCAGTAAGAGCAGATGTCCCCTGTCAATTCTGGACTTTGAGGTCATTACAGTTTCTTACTTTAATCAGTGGTTTAGGATTTTAGCATTTGAAACATGGAGCTTCCCTCTTACTGCCCCCTCTGCTGGTTAAAGCTCCACATGACACAATCTCTTCTACGGCCCAGGATTGGAAAGTACAAACACTAACAATATAATATTTCATTAAAAGGCCAAGAGGCTAAGCAAGTTCGGATATTTTCTAGTTTAGTGGTTTAGTACCATCATACTCTGTCATTTTGTATAAAGTACATCTCCTATAAAAAAGAAAAGGTAAGATTTACAGAACACAATTCAAAATGAAACAATATTATTTGTAAGGAGACAGGCTTGGTGGATTTACTAAATAAATACAAGGCAAACAAATAAATTCAATTGTTGTTGTTGGCTTGTAAACATGAAGGAACTCAACCTTTTGTGTGTATTGTTTTGCAAATGTACTTGGAGACATAGTTTAGGTTTGTGTGTCTGGATTCTATATTTTAGTTGCTTTTTAGTTACTCTTTATAAGTAAATGTAACTGGAATCAAACATGGTGTTGGGTGATGAGGCTTAAATCTCTAAAAGGAAAAGGTGTTTAAATGGACTTTGGAGTTGAGATTATTTAGTTGCACATACTGAAAATGAATTACAAATCAATACCGTTTAGGTTCAAACAGTCACAGGGCATTCAAATACTGTAGGTGTTTACTCACATCAAACAGGGTGCCTACTTCTTGATCCGGTGAAGGGGCGAATGACTGGTTAACATAAATGAACTGGAAAAAAGCAGATGAAGTGACATGAAAAGAAAAGAAGACCTAAAGTTTTAGAAAGTGAACACACAGGTTGACAAACTTCATCCTTACCAGTTGTTCACTGCCTTCAATCTTGAGGAAGCGAGAGATGAACTGAGACAGGGACAGTATCGTCCGACCCCGCTCCACTGCCCACTTCTTTGTTTTCATTATAGGAGTATCCCCCACTGCCTTCAGCAGCACATCAACTACAAAAGTGGAGAAAATAAAAGGTGAAAGTGCTGCTGCTGCCACCCAAACTTGTCTAGCCGAATCTGAAGATAAATTGTGTGGGAATTGATGGAGAAGTTAAATCCATTGAAACATGGAGAAGAAATTGAGAAAATACTGCAGAATTAAGTACATGCCATTCACTCTTTACATTTTTTTTAATAAATACAAATAGGCTGTGCTCAGAAGAAACAGAATTTTAATATTATACTCAAAAAATTATTTTTGTGTACATAAATGATAAACATACAGGGCTACAAAAAATAGAGGAGATATCTTCTAATATACTAGACATGATACACTTCAGTCAAGTATGGGCTCACTCATCACTAATATATTTTATCTATGAAATAGAGTATTTATTTGGTAAAAACAGTTTTATAAAATAACTCTAACAGAAAGTCTCCCTGGATTAAACTTCCCACAGCTCATGAGAATAATATTAGTAACAAGTAGGATACTCCTTGCAATTCCTGAAAGAACGTTTTTAATGCCTTAAACCTAAACCATGAAACGAGATCTGTTATGTGACAATTTTAAGCTAACTGGAGTTTGTTAGCTTAGCATTAATACAATGACAGTTACAAGAGGTAGTTGATATTGGCACTATCGTAAAATATATGTTATGTAAACACATGTAAACAGCATCTCTAAAAAGTATATATCCCACGAGGGAAACTAATATTACATTAGTAAAAAGATTATGTTTTGCCTTCATAAATAGCAGCATTTGATTTAGCCGTTCCCCAAACCGGTAGTACTAAATGAAAAAAGATTAATGCTTATTGGCTAAACAGAAAAAAGGAGCCTTTCTATTGGCCAAAATCTCTGTCGATCTTAATTTACGTCACACACCCGGAACAGTTTCTTCTAGCACTGTCAACATCCCTCGTAAACAGAAAGTTATTTGTCACTGATTAAGTAGAGTTTTGGATATATAACAAATTCTTACTTTTTTTCTTCTCATCATTTGTCGACGTATCGTCTGGCGGCGGTTGTGACTCCTCTTTTGGCGTTTCTGTTGGGGACTCTGCATTGTCAGACATCTTCAGGTGACTACTCTGGCTGTGGTTACCACCCACCTGAACAAGCCTAGCGATTGGGTGCGTACAATGGCTGCTATTGGCTCTAAGAACCGTCAATCACGAAGACACGTAATTCTATTGGGCAATGGGCGGTGGGCGCTGCTGTGTTTATCAAAGGCTGTAGAACTTGTGTGTCTTCCTCATAGCTACATGCTAGGTTAGTTGTTCTTTTTTTGAATTTGGAATTGTTCAATTGCTTATGTGGAAGTTGATTGTCTATTGATTTAATCTTGTGCACGTATTTGTTAAATATTGCATGCATTCCTACTCTTTCGCTTCAACTAAAATAACATGTTGTGTTCGTTTCTCATAACACAGTCACATTGGACATTACACTTTAACCTGACAGCTGAACTTTCTACAGCCCTGTTTGACCCATTACCCAGTCCTCTACCTCTACCAGACACTAGGACCATTCAGACAACAGCAGTAAGTTCACTTGAATGTTTCTTTATATTACGTTTAGCTCAAATGACCGTAGCTATATATCGCCATGTCACTCTAATTCAATTGTGTTCAGCTAAGAGACTGTTCTCATTGTTATAAAGACAATGCCATTTACCATTGACGAAAGTTTTCGTACAAGGAAGAGAACCTATTTCCTTTAAAAGTAGACACAAAATGCACAAATTCGAAAAACATCATTTGAATGCAAAATGTATGTTTGCAACGCAGCAACTGCATTGCGTACATGACATTGAATGGGGGATATTATTACAACTTCAATGCTATTTTAATATGCAGTGGCCAATCCACTGTGTTGTTCCTGACCTTAAATCTGTAACTCCTTTTCTGTTAATTTGCTCTTCCAGTGGCAAGCATTGGCCGGCTCTCCACCAAGGATGCAGTGCTCCTCCTGTGTGACATGCAGGAGAAGTTCAGACCCAACATCTTCCAATTTCCCAACATTGTCAGCAATGCGGCCAGATTGCTCAAGGTTGGGAAAACTCACCATCACAGAATCACGCAAGTAGCTGTCAACCATACCAGTAATCAGTTTCCTATATTTATTATTAACTATTCATTATATCTCACTTCACAGGCCAGTCGTGTTCTCGGCATCCCCGCCATTTTAACAGAGCAGTACCCTAAAGGCTTGGGTCCCACTGTACAAGAGCTGGAGGCAGGTGACCTGACTGCTTATGCTAAAACCTCTTTCACCATGATGATAGATGAGGTGGAGAAGCAGATGCAGGCCCTCGGGAACCCCAAGCAGGCTATACTGTGTGGAATAGAGGCACACGCCTGTATTGCAGTAAGACCACATCACTGTTCAAATGTCATAATATAATTCTCAGCATCATGAAACACAACATAAGTCCTCTACATTATTTGAAATGTATTTTAAGTATGTTCCTTTGTTATAGTTTTTGTAAATCACAATTACTTGCAGGTTTTATTCTCCAGTTGGCTTGTCTACTGTTCTTAAAGATGCCAGATCTTGCTCATACATACCATATGTGTCGTATGCATTCTTGCATGGATTTTTGATTGACATGAAACCCTTTTTATTAGTGGTCCTTCACAGATTAAAGGAGAAATATAGTGGAAAAACTCAGTTGTTTAGTGTACATACACGTGGGTTGGATTACCTACCAACCCACAAACTGTAAAATATGAACATTTATTATGTGGAAGGCGATGATGGGAAATCTTATTATTAAGCTATAACATTATGCTGTTCTAAAGACATTTTATTATGCTAGTTTTCATGGTCTGGTGTGCAACTGAGATTAAGTTAATAATTAAATACCCTTCCCTCTTGTCTTTTCCACAGTGCACAACATATGACCTCCTTGAAAAGGGAATAGAGGTTCATATCGTGGCTGATGCCGTCTCATCCAGAAGGTATCTGTGTATTCTATTTTTTGTTCTGTTATATAGCATCGTCTGACCCACATTACATATAGATTTGTTTCTCTGTGTTTCTGGAATCGGTTTATATGTGTTCCTACTTTTGTGTCTCCCCACACAGCCAGACAGACCGTTTGTTTGCTCTGTCCCGACTGAAGCAGAGCGGGGCGTTCCTCACCACCACTGAGGCTGTTCTGCTGCAGCTGGTTCAAGGCGCCAAACACCCAAACTTCAAGGAGGTGCTTGCTATAGCTGCTCTTTGTTGCTCTCCTGAGTTACTTTAGTTTGTTTCATGCCTGACAAACTTATTTTCTTTATTGACAGATCCAGAGGCTTTTGGCCCACCCGTCCCCTGACACCGGCCTCCTCTCCTTCTTCAGCGCTCTGTAGCAGGACAATCTCCTGTGATTCTGTCCCTAAAATACTGTACAGAATTTCACTGCAACACACTGATAAAGTGCTTCAATAAAAGGATATTGCTATATATTTGTATGGCTCTTGTGTTCATGTTTCAGAATCAAACTCTCATGCTTTGTTTGAAATCCTGAGTCTGAACTGTTGAAGTAGAAACTGACAGGTTGTCCCTATTCATTGCAGTCCTGGTAAACTTAGAGAGTCTGAAGAGGAGGGACCAGCTCACAGAGGGGAGGCGCAAAGAGGGAGGTCACAAAGAGGGAGGGATGAGTGACGTAATTCTGGTAAAGCCAGAAAGGGAGGGGAAGGAGAGCGAGGGAAAGAAAAAGGAAGCTCTCCGATAAGTTTTTTTTGTATGTATTTCTACAAAGTTACACAAACTTTCACCAACCAAAGGCATGACTGACCTTGTGGGGATCAACTTGCTGAAGAGGGAGATCTGAAGGAAGGGACGGACAGCAGTTTGTCAGCAGTTGTGAACAGCTGATGACAACATCAAATATTAACACTTTTTAAGGCCTTGGGCCTCGAGTGACCAAACAGAGGTAAGCAAGTCATTCTTATTCCTCACAAAATAGAAAGTATATGTGGAGTTGTCACACTTATAGGCAGTCATTTTCATGTATTTGCTTGTGAGTGGATAGTTTCCACAGCAGGGCAAAGTGTCGGAACTTCCAGAGTGGAAGTACAGGAACAGAGCGGTTGACAGTGTTACATCACAGGCAGAGGGAAATCTGTAAAAGCATTACTCAGTGTTGTGTTTATAGCTACAGTGTCCCAAGTTAAGGGAATTGTTGTTAAATTGCTCTCTTCTGATCCTTCATACCCAAACAGAGAAAAAGAGACCATGTCCTCTGAACTGAACTCCAGTCTCACCAGTATCGACTGGCTGCCTCAGCTGGGAATCAGCAGCCTGCGCTCGGGGAGAGAGAGAGGAGGAGAGAGGGACAAGAAGAAAGACAGAGGGAGGGAGAGGGGAGACTTCCTCCCCTCTCTGCCGGACCCCTCCCACTCTAACTACAAAGGGAAACCCCCTCACAGCTATGCCACTCTAATCGCCATGGCAATAGCAGCTGCACCTGAGAGGAAGTTGAGTTTGAACGACATCTACACCTGGATCAGTGACACCTTCCCCTACTACAGCCGAGCTGGCCGCGGCTGGAAAGTAAGCTTGAATGTAGAACAATAACAAATTATCTTCATATTAGAATGGTGATAACTATGGTTCGGGATGTTTTGGGATATGTTACCAATTTCCATATTATTTGCATTTCCAGCTGACGCACGACTGACTTCATAATTTTGTTTCCCTCACAGAACTCCATTCGGCATAATCTGTCCCTTAATAAATGCTTCAGGAAAGTTCCTCGACCACAGAGTGACCCCGGCAAGGTGAATACTGACACATTTTGATTCTGCATCATGTGAGATGGAGGAAGGGAAGAGCGTTAATCTGAGCACTTGTTTTGTTAATGGCAGGGCTCCTATTGGACAATGGATGGACCTGCAGAGATGAATCAAGCGAGGGCGCCTAAACGTCCCTATCCAGAGGAGGAAGAGGAGAGGCAGGAGGTATGTTGTAATATCACTTACTCACCTACTTTATATAGAAGAGAATGCGCCTATTGAAAAACTTGACATTGTTGAGAGATTAGTCAGCATTCAGTTACAGTTTATTGAGGTGAGGGCTTGAGGTGAAAAAATTGTTTTTTATTTTACTTTCCTGCAGGAATTTATATTTTTACCACCCTTTCACTTTCGTCTCGCTGTGCTGTTTCAGGTTCCTGTAGGGACACAAGCGGAGAGCAGAGCTTCTCCTCATCAACATCCACCTCCTCATCAACATCCACCTCCACCCTCACACAGAGACCACCAGCTTCTTAACACAGAGCCTCTGGGAGCCATCCAGCAGCAGCCTCCCCACTTTGCCTCCCTTTCCCCTCCCCCATGCAAGGTAGAATCACTTTCACCTTTCTTTATCACAGTCAGGGTTGTTTCAGCGTTTCATCTGATCTAATCTTTTATCTTCACAGCAACCATCACCCTACATGCCAAGTCCTGTGTCCTCTCACTCTGTCCATAATCCATCTCCTGCTGCCCCTATGTCTTCTATCCATTCCTTTTCACCTCACCATCCACCTGGACCAACTTTTACCCCCCCTCCTTTATCTGCTGCCAATATGTCTTCTCCTTCAGCTCATTCTTTCTCCAATGCCCCATTGTCCTATCCTGCTAATTCAGTTTCTGGTCCCATTTTCACCTGCGCTCCTACCGCAGTGCCTGTTTGCACTGTGTCCGTCCCCCCTCACTCCCCTGCGTGTGGGGTCCCTTCATTTGTTGCTGGTGCTCCTGTGGTCTCAGTGAACTCCTCCGAGCCTCAGCTGCTTTTCACCTTCGACGAGATGATCTTGCCAGACTTGTATGCGTCTTTCAAGTCTATCTTCAAGACCATGCGGGACAGGGGTGGCTCACAGTGTGAGTACTATGTCTGTCTAATGCAGCACTTTGGAACAGTCATCTTGAAAAGTGCAACATAGTTATATATATTACAATTTCCGAACCACAAATAAAGATTGCAATATGTCATATTTGTACTGCTTACATGATCTGTATCATGCCTCATTTAAGTAGTGCTGTACCAGCAAAATCAGTAATGTGGAGTTAAGCATTTGCTTTTCAGATAAAGGACCTCTGTGCCAAAATGGAAACTCAAATATTGATTAAGCCCACATTATACACATTAACAGCTTGGATGAGTGACTTGTTTTTATGCAATTTACAGCGGATGTTGCTCCACTGGCTCCTCTGAACAACGACACTACCCCACTTCACACTCCAACTCTGCTGCCATTTTCCCCTCACCCTGCACCACCAGCAGCAGCACCTCCACCTGCAGCTCCACATGTAGCTCCACCTGCAGCACCTCATGTAGCACCTCCATTAGCTGCACACCCTCCTGAGACTGAGCGCATTCCACAATACAGTAAGTTCAACATGACCTTACTTACCGACCCCAGACATGCTTGAATTGCATTAAAAGCAGAATCAGTGCTTTCTAAAGTTACCTTCCCTCTTCCACTTTAGCGGTGCCAGCTGACTGGTTCAGTAACCCTGATTCTCTGAAGGAGAGCTTCCGCATTGCCAGCAGTCTAGACTGGGCCAACATCGACCTCACTGGCCACCCAGGTCTGTGCTGTTCACCAGAGTCTTGATAACATGTTGTTTCTCTTCTGGAGGTTGTTTGTGTCAAATCTGCTGAGGTTTTGAGATATTCATCTACTCTCTCGTAATAGACAAAGGAAGAGAGGAGCCAGTTAGTCAAGCAACAGACAATGTATTGGCAGTTATAATGCAGTCAATTGATTTTTTCCTAGCAAAAACACCAATTGTTCTTCGCTTCCAGCTTCTTAAATGTGAGGATTTAATGGTTTAATTTTGTCATTCGATAGTAACCTGAATATTGTTGGGCATTAGAAATTATCTTTTGAAATGTTTTACTATTTATTTTTTATTTAATATCCAAATTGATTAATTACAAAAAGCATAATTTGCAGATTATTCAATAATGAATATCATCTTCACTGCGGCCTGGAATGGTGCTGTGTTGTGACACCACTAATACAATGTGTACATGGTACAGTGGTGGAATACAATTCTCAGAGATACTGTGGATATCTCAAAACCTCAGCAGATAAAAATAAATCTGGTTTGTGTGAACTGCCAGATTTACTGACCCATTAAGATGTTTGTCTTTTTCTGCTGATGTATAAACTCTTCATGGCTGGCAGATAGTGAAACAACTGAATATGAGGATAATTTAAACATTTTTTCAATAACTTTTGTTGTTGTTTATTAAAGACTTTCTCTTCCATTCTGTCCCCAGACCTGCTGGAGGGCATGCGGCAGGCGGAGCTCTGTGATTGGGCACTGGACCCGACGCTCTTCACGTCCCTCTGTGACTCTCTGAACCGCTTCTTCACTCAGAAAGGCATGATTACCTCTGGGAGTAACTCCCCCCTGGCCCTCGGGGGTCCTCACCCCCTACACGGCCCACCATTCACCTCCAATCCGCCTCCTACCCTCGCCAGCCTCACTCATCCCTCACCCCTCCCTTACTCTCCCATAGTTCACCCCGCCAGTGGAGTGCAGCCCCCCCGCAGGGCTCCGCACATGCAGGGCCAAAGACCTCAGCTCACACAACCTGCAAACACAACCGGTAAGAACTGGACATCATGGTCGATTGGGTTTCCATTGAAATGTTTGTGGTAACTGAGTGGAATTCTGTATGGCGCTTGAAAGGATAGGTTCAGATATTTTTCGAAGTAAATAACTCAATAAATTATACAATTGATATAAAAGAAAGAAATACAAACATACAAATACACGTGCATGTTAATTTGATAACTAATGTGCACAGAACTAGAACATATTTTCTAATTGTTACTTGATTCATTAACATTCATATTTATTTCCAACTTGATTTGCTTGTTTAAATTGATGTCTGTACATTTTCCCAATTTTTAACTTCAATAAATACATTATATAAATTATAAATGAGTTTAACTATTTCTGTACATGTTGTTTCTCTATTTCTTAGTTGTTTCCCATAATGGTAGATGCAGTCAGTGGTAAAGGAGAAGTTATTTAAATAGGAATGACCTTACAATAGTGTTTTCACTTCCTGTTTGTTGTGTGCTAACTAAGTCCATGTTTCTCTGTGTCTCAGCTGGGATGCAGCCTCAGTCCATGACACCACGACAGCGTCCTCCATTGAAGAATCTGCACAGCAACAGTGAGGAGATCCAGGACGACTTTGACTGGGACTCTCTGCTAGGTTGAGCCTGACTTCCAGTTTAAAACAGAACTTATCAGAGAAATGTGGCTCTTTAGTCTTTACAGCCGTCTCCACTAAACTCTATGCAGGGGCTGCCTTACTTTTGTATCTTGAAGCTTCTCTGAGAGCAAGTTTGGGATCAAGTGTGTCACATTCAACTGAATGCTGTATTTTAAGGTTAAATAGTTGTACAAATTATTCACCTTAACATAGCTGTTTTAACTTTTGTTTAGCTTTTCTTCTGCAGGCTTTTTTTTCCTGTTGGATTTTAGTTTTTAAAACATGTTCACCAAAGAAAATAAACTGTAAATATATTCTTATCAAATTATCTGCAGAAATGAAATACATATGGGATGCTTGGATATAAACAATAAACACATAACAAGCATGAAACAAGCCAAACACATAAAGTGTTTTTGTTTTATTTCGTAAATTCCTTTTGATTTTTTTTCCATTTTACTTTTCAAATGTGAATGTTCAGTCATCACCACACAAAAGTCAACCTTACCCAATAAAAGATATTTTTCTTGTTGATATAAAATAACAATTAATTCAAACTAAATTAAAAGAACAGCATGGAGCATGTCGTCAAGTCCAAGTTTTTTTCTTTCATTCATTGAAATAATTGTCTTTTTTTTAAGAAGCATCAGTACTCTCCCTCTCCGAAGACAGGGCTGAAACGGGTGGACAGTGTAGCTCTGGGACACCTGGACACCAGGGGTCCCATATGAAATGTGTGATTGGAAAAACTAATGCTTCTGATTAACAAACAAAAAAGTGAAATATGATTGGCAGAGAAATGTGTGACCCTTATACCTCATCTGAAATCCCAACATTACATAGTATTAATACAAGTGACAATTTTTTAAAACAAAAATAATGGATGTCATTTCTTTCTTTCTGAGTCACTGAAATAAGAATGGAGACAGATATTGACACATATACACAGAAACAGGCATTTGCACTATTGCATACTCACAAATGAGCATTCATTTTCTCATTCGCACCTGGCTGCAAACACACACATTCAACAAACATCCCATCACTTCGCCCATCAGACCACAGAGGTCAGAGCTCTCTTTAGTTTTCTCCAATAATATGAAGGGAAAAAATAAGCATTTGATTTAAATGGCATCATCGTGTGATTTTCTTGTTAATTTGTTCCCAAAAATTGGAAACAAAATAAATTACATTTAATATTAAATTAAAAGTAAAAGAGTTGAAACAATTTGACCACATTGTGCCTGAAATGCTAATGCAGGATTTCCAGTCTGTATTGGAGTTAATTAAAAATCATCCTTCATGCACATTTTTCCTTTTAGTGATTCAGTGTTTATCTTCATTCTATTGAGAGAGAGAGGTGCAACAGTTTCTCAGTTTGTTAGTGGCTATGTCTGCTCTCTCTCCAGCTCTCTCTCAGTGCAGTAACATTACAGAGTGATACTACTGAAAACGCCTCTGCTCACAGACTTACCTTCATCTCAAGACAGGACTGAAAATAACACAACATGAAGAACGCTACAGAACGGCACAGGATTAAAACTAAAATAAATAGATCTCTATTTCCCGCCCACAAACAACCCATACTGTAATGAAAGAAACTAAATGTGGAAAATTATTCTGAAATGAAATAATGCTTTTGAAGGAAAAGATAAACATAATTTTTAAATTTTTAGTTTTTTTCTTTAAATATAGAAATGTACACATTTTTCTTTTTGGACACAAACTGTGTTGAGGGGGTGGGGGTGAAGGGGGCAGCAGGTACGACAGGGGAGGTTGAAACTGGTGAGCAAAGTAGTGGTGACACTTCCTCAAAGAAGGAAAGGGTTGGTGCTCGCTCCCGTCGTTCCTCCGCCTCCCACTGACCCTCCTGCCCCCATCACTCCGGATCCACTTGGCCCACCCAAAATCAGCTGAGGAGGTGGTCCGCCTCCGTGCCCCATAAAAACCGAGCCTGGGGGGGCCATAGGCGAGAGGCCGCTGAAGGGCATGCCCATGGGGCTGGCCTGCATCATGCCCATGCCCATCCCTGGAGCCCCCATACCCACAGTCATTGGCCCCATGCCCATTCCTGGTTGCATCATGCTCAGCATGGGGTTGAGGGGCACAGGACTGGAGCGGAGGCTCAGGCCAAGTGAGGAGGGCTGAGGTGAGATGGAGCTCATGGGGGGGGCCACGCCAAACGGGTTGGAGCAGGCAGGTATTGGAGAAACCCCCCGACTGGAAATGGTGCTGCCTGGAGTCACTGCCATGCCAGGAGCAGGAGATGAGCCTGAGGTCAGAGGTCAGACAGGACCGGAACACATCAGGATCACTTCATACCTGCCATTACACTTTGTTCAACACTTTTTCAGATACCTTTTCAATCCATGCCAGGTTTTTATATTTTTCAACACATGCCAGTTAATATAATAATCTAATCATATTTAATCCGCAACCATTTTATATGATAGATTTGGATTTTAATAACCAAATAGCTAAATGTGGAATAGTTTGAAATGAACTTTTCTCAATTTTAGTGACTGAATATGTAAGTTTTGTGTTACCAAGAAGGCTATCTCAAAATGCACTTTCCATGAACAGGGTTAGAGTGTGTGTCTGTCTGTCTGTCTGTCTGTCTGTCTGTCTGTCTGTCTGTCTGTCTGTCTGTCTGTCTGTCTGTCTGTCTGTCTGTCTGTCTGTCTGTCTTCTCAGGTTATACACAGATATAGACGATAGCTGTAACTAACCTGTGTTCTGGAGGAAGGGGTTGTGCGCTGAAGAGGAAGAGATGGAAGGGGGCGGTGGCTGTTTGGGTTTGGGTTTAGATGACAAGAGAGAGTCGAGATCCACCAGCGCTGCGTTGGGGCCGAGGAAGGACTCGGGAGTCTTACGAACAGGAAGTGAAGAACCAAGAGATGACAGGTCAAAGGGCACCGGAGAGCCTGTGCTGTTACAGCCTATTGCCGGGGACCCCCGTCGCTCCGGGTCTCCTGAGGAGGACAGAAACAGTAAACCAGGATACAAGCAAAGTCTTTCTTTCCTTATAATATAACCACAGATTATATAACAGACACTAGAGGAGGATGAAATGTAGGACAAGACAACTGTAGTGTGCATGCAGTTATAAATCTGTGTGGAGTCCCTGTGCCCACACCTCAGTGTTTGAGAGTCGGTGTAGCTTTAAGCGTGAATGTACCTGTGCCGTTTGTGTGTAGGGCGGTGCCACTCCAGATGTCGGAGGTTATAAGGTCAGAGGCAGGGAGAGCCCCTTCACCTGCCCAGGGGTCTACGGGCCCCCCCGAGGAGGATGTGCTGGGTGGCACCGGGGGGCCCCAGGGATCGGCACTGGGGGGGGTCACAGCTACAGGGGAGGGGAGGAGACGCAGGGGAGGGGAGGGTTAACACAACACCTTACAGGTACATACACAATAAAGAGGGAGCAGGAAGCTGGGCTGGGTTCCAACACTGTTGCTTCTCTCCTTTAACCTCTGCAGTCCCACTAACGTGACAGCTGACAGCAGATAGTAGGTTCACCGTCACCTTTTTNAAGGGGGTGCATGTGACCAACTTTTGCGACGACATCTAGTGACGGCATGGGGCACACGACCCTCAGCGTGTCAAATTCCCAAAACTTTCAACTTCAAACACACAGAACCCTTTGCGATACACTATGTCATGTCAAATGTGTCCGTGTCATGTACAAAGAACATCATGATAACGTGATTTACCATTGTCGAACTATGCCAATACGTACTACACGTGAACAAAACAACTTTACAATTATTTACCCTCCGAAAGGGAGTTTGTCGGTGAGAGAAGGGCTGTTGTCCATGGGAGACACCGTGTTTTGGGAGATGTATACCATTAATTTGTAATTTGTGGACGCCCCAATATCAAGGGTCAACGCCAATATATATGTCTAGTAAGTTAAAATCGACGACGCCGAATATAAGTTCCACGTCGGGAATATCAGGCTTTTTAATTGCCAGTCAACCATACTTCGCCACCATAAACTCGGTGGACGTCAAGAGAGAAGGGAAAACTGAAGGACGGCAAAAACACTTTAAGGGAGCCAGTAATTTGGAGATGTAGACCAGCCAAACCTTTTTTAAAAAAAAAAAAAAAACCAACAGGAATCTAAAGAAAGACTTGTTGGTCGAAATCCCTCGTAATTAGCTATTCTAATAAGGAGCCGTGTCCGAGAGACACCTCCCGACTCCACGTCCGAGCTGCGGGACCCCCACGGCGCCCCACGACGGCCCCCGGGAAACTCGGAGACGCCTGGGGAGCCGGAGGTGGGGAGCTAAGAACGGGGACGACCGGAGTCCAGGAACCCACGTCGAGGGAACGTCCCTGGGTACCCCCTAATGCAGTGGGTGTAGGGGATGTTCGGAGACCCTGGGGACCCCCACCCCCCTTCGAGGTGTATATCGGGAGGGGGGACCTGTGGACCCCTCTTCTGCAGTTTGCAATTGGTTGTAGCCCTTGGGCACCCGCCTCAAGTCCCATTCGTTGTTGTAGTACATCAGTGAGGCGTCCAATTGACCTTTACCAGTTGAGAGAACCGCTCATAAGTCTTCTCTCGCGACAGGGACGAGACCTACCTTGTGTCCTACACTCTGGAGGAGTTGGAAATGAGGAGGAGCAGGGTAAAGGAAGAAGATAATGACGGACATTACATCAGTACAGGTGGTACGAGCCAGTAATCGATGAGTATGTACCCGAAAGTCGCACATTACCTCCTTTTCGTTCTCGTACGCATTTAGGTAAGAGGGAAAAGACACAGATTTGGTCGTAAAACATATGAGGAGAGAACAAAGATGAGTTCCTGGACCCTGACACCGACAACCAGAAGTTGGTCCTCGGACAAGAGAAGAGAGTGGGGAAAACACGGAGAAGATAACAACCCCATCCGACCGAATAATAGGAGAGAAATGGGAGGTGACCTCGAAATCCTACCTTTTTTTCCAAACTGCCAACTTGGGATGATAGACCGACAGTCGACATGCAGCTCTCGTAATGTCTGTCTGTCTTGCTCTCGTTCTGTCTCTCGTACCACTCTCGGTTCCACTTTTACTTTTGCGCGCTACCTGTCTCACTCTTTTCCGGCCTCCAGCTTTTCCTGCTGGAGCCCGCCGCTTAAAGGTGGGGGGCGCGGACCGGCCATAGAGCCCATAGAGTTAAAGGTGGTGGACTGTAACCTGTAACATCCAGATTTAGGAGGTCCCCTAGTGGCCGTTAGCTTTAAAAATCCATAGATTAGCCGCACCGTTACATAAGCCGCAGGGTCGAAAAATGGGAAAAAAGGCGCGGCTTATAGTCCGAAAATTACGGTACTTAATCTAAGGGGGATAACCTCAAGGGACGGTCTAAACCACCATTAACACAACAGTTACAATCATTTGGGGGGACTGAGAGAGACACAGATAGAGGAGGTAATGTCAGGAGAGTGAGAGACGTAGAGACACTTTGAACACACACCTCCTCCGGTTTCTTCTTTTCCCTCCTGCTCTCCTCCAGGGCCATCTGCAGTCTCAGGTCGTCTCCTCTGCGCAGTCGCTCTTCCTGCCAATCACACACACTGTGATGTCAGCTACCTGAGACACACAACCTTAGAAAGCACACCACATTTACAGAATTAAGATCAGTTTAAGATTCCAAAGATGAATTAGTGGGATTGGAAGTGAAAACGTTTGATCACCATCTACAGCGAAAGGAAATGAAGGCGAATCACCCAATCCTTGAATTAGTAGAGTTTGCTATTTTGTCTGATTCTCACGGTATTTCAGCAAAACACAATCAGATCAGACACATGCTTGTTTCACACATGAAATAAAGTTATCCAGGACTGCTGTCAATAGACAACCTGAAATAAAATTGAGTACAGATAAACTGTCTGGAAAGGTTTAGACAAGGATAGGCTATAATTGATATATTATATATACTGAGTTGACTGAACCACTTAAGGGGGAAAGACAAAGACAGCCGTAGTTAATTTGCTTGTTGACAAGTTGTCATTTTGAATACTTCGCAGAAACTATTGGTTGGTTTTAATTCCTTCATGCTGTTTGTGGATAACTTGCTTAAAATGCTGTGCATAAAGAACAGGAAGTCGTCTTTTAGCATTGCCCAGTCAAGCCACTTTGACATCCAGCCTACCTGGAGTACATCAAATAAAAACGCCTAGATCAACCAACACAAATCTTGCAGATCGCCACAGGACGTTCCCAACCTTTTTTTCTATCACCTAGTAGCAAGGAGTGACACAGGGATTTATCCATGAAGAACAGTGTCTGCTATATAACGGAGCAAGTCTTATGCTTAATGCCACTTGTGACATATAGTGTTATCCTTATAAGACCCTGCTTTAGTTTTAGATTACACCAATGGTGCGGTAAGTGCAGGACTCTACCCACTAGCGTAAAAAAGGTTAACAAATGTTTAACTCAGTCAACATGGTACAAGCAAGTTACAACAGCAGGAGACAGGTGTAACAGTTTAGGTAAAGAGTGCATTCAAAGACAAGACTATGATCGAAAGCATGCTATCAGAGAGGGTGAAGGAGAGGAAAGAGTGATCAAACCACTCAGTGTTTAATTCAGTAAGTTAATTCAGAGAAATATTTGCCAATGCCATGCATATTCAACAAAAGAGATTGGAGATAATCAAATCTTTGGGAGCTGATTCTTTTATAGTTTTGCAGAATGTAAAAGGAATTTGACTGAAATTTTGAAGAAAATGACACATGACAAATATGAGCAGAAATTAGTTTTGTTAATTGATCAATACTTGATGTGTAATTCAGAAATTCCAATTGACAGAAAGACAGATAGTATGTGACTGGGCCCCCAGTCAGCTGGCTCTGCCCCCTGACCTTTTGTTGCGCATCTTTGCTGAGCGTGATAGCATAGCTGAGCTCTGCGTCCTCCAGAGGGTCCTTGTTAGTCTGGGGGAGGTCAGGCAGTACATGGTGAGAGCAAAGCTAGGTGTGTGTGTAGTGAATAGTATGGGTAATACATCCCTATGTGTACACAAGTGCTGAAACAAACAGTACAAACTGCAAACTCTGCTGGTGTTAGTCACAGTAATGCTTGAATCCTTATCTCAGAGGGCTCTAACTGAGCTGTGTCTGCCCTGAATATGCTGCTTTGTGTTACCTGCTCTGCCTCTTCTTTACTCATGGCCAGAGCCAGCTGGAGTTGCAGATCTTCCTCTCCAGTGCTCTGGGGCCACGCCTGCTCAGGGTCGGCCCCCCCAGAGTGGGAGCCCGCTGACAGGCTGCCTCCCAAGCTGGGTGCTGAGGGAGCTGAGGAGGCTGCAACAGAGACAAACCAGAATATGCATGAATGAGAGCTTGTGTAAGGTTATCAACTTATCAGAGCTAAAGGCCTTCTTTCAGTGTAACACTTTCACTTTGAGCATTGGTTAAATCTTTAAAGACAATCTATTTTAAGTACCAATCTCACCACTGGAGGTTTGTGCCATCTTCTCTTTGGTTTTGAGGGCGTGGATCCTTTCCTCTCTTAGTCTCTCTTCATCTTTTAGCAGTGTCACCAGCTGTTTGGCTTTCTCTCTAACATTTACCCCCTGGAAAAAAGACATAAGCAAACAATTATATCCTGCAAACTAAGTGTATTGTTTTTACATAACCATACAGCTGTACACCTCAGAATTAGTGTTAAAGCTTGTTAGTTTGTTAGTTTAAGGTTTTATTTACCAACTTCCCATAAAAATCTTGAATGGCTGGCTTTGTTTGCATAGGAGGTCAGAAACACATGAAAGCGGCATGTTTGGAAAAGCATGTCTGCATTCCACAAAGGTGGAACTTACTCACTAATCACTTCAACTATCTATGCAGCTTTGTGGGCGTGGGTGCGCTTGTGTACCTGGTCTTTGCCGTCTCTGTCTATAAACTGGAAATCCTTGAGGGTCTGGACTGCGTATATGTTCTCTCGGCACTGTTGAGCAACACGTTCTGAACCCGTCTTGATCAGGTACTCCATAAGAGTCATAGCCTGGTGGAAACAAAATCACAACCAATTGACCAATTGTAGAAAAGGGACTTTAATTCCCTTTTTTAGATTAAACATACATGCCCATGCTTTCAGTGTGTAAGTTAACACACACCATTAGTACTAATAACAAAATTCTAAATAACTCATACATTTCATAAAACCAAAAATATTTGGAACGGGCCTGAAATCAGTCTCCAGCTTACTCATTGAATTATCATACAGTTAACACTCAATGGTGAATACTCAAAATATGAATACATCTCAATTAACTACTCACTACAGAGTAAACTCTCAATTAACTACTCACTACAGAGTAAACTCTGTAGTGAGTAGTTAATTGAGATGTATTCATATTTTATATTGTTGCATCGACCCAGTTGTCTTGTGTCTTATCTGTCAGAGAGAAAGCATTATTTATTTTATTTTTATTATCATACATTTTACCTCCTTGTGTCTATTAACCTGATAAAATGTTATATTTTGCTGCATGTACCTTTAAAGTTCTTAACAAATAATCTGAGGGGAATTTATTGTTGTTTGTTTTTAACTGGTGATGTTTCATTTTATAAAGCACTTTGAGCTGCATGTGTTGTATGAAAAGTGCTATATAAATAATAATAATTATTATTATTATTATTTAAGACACTTCAAAATCATCGTCATTCTGCATCATCAATGATAAATGTAGTGTGGCAAAATTCAAAACCAAATTGTATTGAAGGAAAACATAAAGTGGACATCCTATTGCCAAAATATCATCTATTCTACATTCAAACAATGCGAAAACCAATAATGTGTGTATATTATGGTATATGTACTGGTGACATATTGCCACACAATTATACCAAACAGCCCAAACAAACACAAACCTTGTACACATGTCTCCAGTTCTTGCCGTGGTCATTGAGGCGCTTCCACACCATGCTCATGATTTCCGAGAAGGCCACAACATTGTAGGTCAGATCAGCAATCTCTGACATCAGAGAGCTGCTGGGGCCCCAGGGGTCATTGGACGTCGCCTCTCTAACCTGCAGCACGGAAAAACAGCAAGGGACAAACTTCCAATCATCCTCTATCCGAACTGTCGTGATAAGAATCATATTGAGCGAATACCTTGTAACAGTTTGGGACAATGGTCCACAGTGTTCTGAGTATCAATACAAACTCAGTCACGACACAAGCCGGAAAGAGGCAGACTAATGAACGGATATATGATTACGTTAGCTAATATTATGAATAATAACTGGAAAGAGGGGGCATGTAGCTTTGCTCGTCAGCAGCTATATGAAGTCACATGTGCTGTAGAGATAAACAGATTACATTTCAGCAATGGACATATGGGGGATGTGGGTGTGAGAAAGAAGAAGACCAGATAAGCAGAAAGAGAGACAACCTTGATTTCAGCCTCTGAATAGTTGTGGACGATGTTCTTTACTTGTCGCCGTAGCGATGAGGTCGACATGGCAACGGTCTGGCCGCCGAGTCCTGCTGCAATCTGAACTGCAAATGGAGAACAGAGAGGGGTTGTAAAATATAGGTAATAAAAGCGAACAGCAACAAAGGGCAAAGAGGACTCTTATTGCAAGGAGAAAAATGGGTTTAATTAAAAGAGTAAATTCTACTTTCAAAAAAGAGGGCAAGAAGAGAAAGAGTCAGAAAGACTGGAGAGGATGTATGCAAGTACAAGAGTCTGGATAAAAGGTGGTCGTCCTTGAGAAGAACAATCAGAGTGTGAAAGAGGGTGTCTATAGCAGATACATCTGAAACCATGTGACTGCTGGTGTCAACAGAGGAAGTGAGAGAGCGAGCGTCATGCACACCTGTTACACAAGAAGGATGCAGAATGAGGGGCTCTCCTCTTGCTTTCTTTTCGTTTTTCTGGCTTGTGACTGTGAGCCACTCATTCACGGAGTGCTATGTCTCAGTTTGCCTTTTTCTTCCTGTGACAACATTTGGTCCCAAAACCTTGGGCCGTAGGGAGATGAAAACTAAGGAGCAAGATTGAGATTATCATTAAAAAAGAACCCACACATAATGAGAGATTATTACTATGTCCCAGCAAACAGACTAGAACAAGCTGTAACGTTATGCTAGGTCTAACTCCAAAGAAAGCATTAGAAAACATCAGGACAAAGCAGATATTCAGCTACTAAATCACAGGACTTGTTGCTGAACCACACATGGCTAATAGTCAGAGATACATCATACTAGTTATATACTTTATCTTGTTTAGTAAGTCAAGTCATAAAACCCTTTTTTATTCTCCAAAGAATAAGAGTGATTGCCATTAAGTCACAGGAAGGGGAAAACGTGTGTTGTTCCTTACACTTAAATAACATCAGTTGCCAAACCTGAATTGCAGCATTAGGACTCACAAGAAGCCGCAAGCTTTAGGATTAGGACATGAAGTTCACAAGTTCAAGCACTAAATAAATATTGTATTTGTGAACAAACATATTGAAATTGGAAATCTTAGGTATGCTAGATGATAACAGGATCCATTTACTTCATTTCAGGTAATTATATTCCTTATCATTAGACAGATTGAAGTCACAACAACAGTGTTGGTAAAGACAAAAATGTCATAGAAATATCGTAATATTTGTACAGCTCCAAGATGGCATGCAAATAAGCATGCAGGGCATCTCGGAAATTAAACTTGAACCTGTAACAAGTTCATACAGAACGGAAACTTTTTTTTACTGATGTCAGCCATTTATTAGAGGCGGAGTATATGGTGATCATGTTATCAGCAAAACATGTGATTAACAATTGAAAACACTGTCTGATGAAATCAAATCATGGCTTCTGTTATGCCATTCCACTGGGACGGTCTCAATTTGACAAAAACATTATAAAACCATCCTGTCGGATACTGGTCGTGTAAAGGAATGCAAAGAATGATTTCATGGCACAATACAAAATCCCACTGTACCACTACCTACTGAGCATTGTTTGAATTTGATTGCTTACGCAGCAGGCTGAAACACTGTTGCTGACCAGATGCATCCTTTCATTGCAGCAATCTGCATTTTCTCACCAAATACATTATCATTTCGGGTCATGACACAAAGACACTGAGTAACCAATTCACCTACAGGCATGATTTTAGTGCCAATTTATATAAAAGCTATACATGTATTTTTTAAGAGCTAACTTCAAACATTATCTACCCTGTAATACAAATCAAATGAAATATAGTCATTATCCAGTTATTCTTCTGCCTCTTTAAAAGAATGAACCCTAATTATATCAGAGCTTGAGTTTAGACATGTTGTACTCTTTAAAAGCACACACAGGAGGAGCAGTTTGAGCAAGTTCAGCTAAATACATTAAAGATAACTTTCAAAGACCACTCCCTCAACTCCCATATCTCAAGAACTAAAGGCAGCAGGAATGCAACATCTTTTGGGCTAAAGAAGACGAAGAGTTCAACCCACCCACTGCATCAATATTCCCTGAAAAAGTAAATGAGCAATGGTGGGAATTGGAAACCAAGAAACTATGCTTCTCTTCCCATTTCCCTAGCCTCAAACAGACCTTCCTGCGTACAAGTATATATTCCTCAAGAGGGAAGTATGCAGACTGACCTTAACACCAATCTGACCTTAACACCATGCAATCTGATGGGCATGAAAACAATTCATACCTTTCTGTTGTTTTGTTGATAGCAATTTAAATAATAATGTACTTCTTATCTTACATTCTTAAATACACTCTAGCTGTCTCTATGCCTATAGACTGTTTTAAACACCCACATATACAAAAGTTACATAGTAACTTAACAACAGGAATAACACATTTAGGGAAGATATGCATATGTTCAGGTTTAAATATACTTTGGTAAACCAATGGTGAACCAAACACAACTTTGGTGTATACTTGTACAAGTGTTTTAAATAAGCCTGAAACATATAGATTGTCTGTGTTTAGATTTGTAGGTCGGACAAATATGAGACCACATTGCACAACTGAATCTAATGCAGCTATTGCAAAAGCCAGGACAGAGACTCCTGAAGCTCCGTATCAAAGTTCAAACACTAACTAATCGTTGATAAGGGGCCAAATAATACGCCCTTTGTATCTCAGGTTGTATCAAATATCTCCACAATCTCTAATACTAAAGAAGGTTTCAGTAACTAACTGTATATGTCGTTGTTCAGAAAAACACAATCACATTATCTTCTACTTTGAATTGTCTTCTCTGCTTTACATATGGGTTTCAATGCCCAATCATGTAACCTCTGACAGGCTTGAAGAAGAAGTATACAATATATTTAAGGAAGAAATTAAGTAAAAGAAGAAAATACCAGAAAACTCTAGGTCCGCTGCAACATTCATTGCATACATAAAGGCTAAAGACTTGTCTTTTTGCCCCTATCTAATCATATAAGTATTAATTTATTTCAATGCACTGGAACATCTGTATGTTATACCTGTATTTTCATATTATAGCTTGTTTAACTTTTTGAGTTCTGTTCTGCAGCTCAATTTGTGTGTTCTTTTTATGTGGGGTTATGTGAAACACTTTGAACTGTCCTGTACTCCTGTTGCTGAAATGGGCTGAATAAACTTGCCTTGCCTTCAGACCAACAGAAGCCCCACTTAGATGAGTGCTAGGTTGAGCTAACACATGTTAATAATACGTTATAGGCTAATGATCCAGTACAAACAAATCGCTGTTACACTTGCATTACAATAATATAGATTTACATAAAGTGCCAACCAGGCCTGCATAACCTAAAAGAGGGAGAGTATTTAGGTATCTGTCTTCCCTAGCCCAATATCCTGAAAGGTATCATTTACTCAGCAATATTTGTCATCCCTTCAAATGTTCAATGTATGTTTCACTGGGGCAATATGGTGAAATCCCCCACCTACTGCTTACTGATGCTAAACTCTACGCCCTAAAATGTTCAGGCAAAGTTTTCTGGACTTTAGACATTGATATCTCCACAGTGGCTGAACACATTTTTACCATACAGGTCCAATCTCCCTTCGGAAATGTAGTAATGATCCCAAACCTGAGCTTACTTAGTCCTCCTGTCACTTGTATACACTTGACGTTATCCACACCCAGTTAGCTGGCACACTGATAACTTAACAACCGTTACCCATTTAACGTTAAGCAAGCAGTCTGTCAACTGACAGTGCTAGCTCTCCAGCAAGCGTTAACTTAGTGTTAGACAGAGTGGGGACCATGACATTAAACAACACTGTTACCAAAAGCATTGTGAGCATTATCTGTGTCAGAAAAATATGTATGCGAAAGACAAGTTTACGCGCAATTACTTAAGCTGAAAGGCAATAAACATTGTCCTACATGTCATTTAACTGTTAGCTTATTATCCACTCAGCCGGCAAACTCTTCCATTCTCACACCTTTCGAAACAGTTAGCTAGCACTTTGACACCAGAGGTTTGGGTAAAGTCTGAGTAAAGTGTAGACAGAGGTACAGAAGGGTGTAGAGTGTTTTTCTACGAGTTGGCAGACAAACAAACGAGAAATTAAAGGTGATATTCTCCACACAACCGTGAATCACTACACACTAGGAAGGGGCGGTTAGTTTACCTGCCAGCTTCACTGATAAAGAAATCACTTGCTGCTGCTGCTAGAAAAGATTAGCCAGCTACTAAGCTAGCAGTTAGCTAGCTAGCTGCTGCTAGAGAGTTCGCAACATGATTGCTAGACTGTACAAGCTTTAATCAAGGACACGTCCTGCTGTGGGACAGTGTTTGATATACACGTTCAAATCACAAGCCGAAACGCCAAAAAATACTGACAACAGACCAAAATAAAAAAACAAATCAAGTGTGTACTGACCCTGTTGTAGCTTGAATGTACGAGGAGATGGCCGAATTTCCGCTTCCGTTCTCGGCTACAGGAAAGACCGCACCCCCTGTAGCTTTGTTTTTACATGGATGGTAGAAGACTCATTCATAATCTATTGATTTTTTTTAATGTCATAATTGTTGTCCTAAATGAAATTAATACAACATTAAAGTTTGGCTAATTTTGATTATTTTATTTTATTATTTTTATTTGAATTATTTTACAACTGTTTTCCTATTCAAGAAAATAAGACATCCCGTTAAACAAGACCTACAAATTAATTACCAGACTATCAAAACGATATCCTTTGCAGCACCGCAAGAGTTTATAGATGAACATAACCATTTTCAGTAGTACTCCAATATAATACCACGGTGGAGTGAGTCTCAAATATAAAGTAAAAATGGCAATCAGTCAGTGTGCATTCTTCAGGGTTGCTTATTCCTATCAAAATCAGAATCAGAGTTAGTTCTAATTTATCCCAATGGGGATAACAACATACAACAACAAAGTATTAAAGAGGAAATCTGTTTAATAAATTATTCCAAGATGATACAGGGAAGTGACTTTTGGATGGCCTAATCTACTGGGAAATAAATCACATCCATTTTCATGTGTGTTTAAAAAAGTGTTTTAAGGCCCTCTTTGGTCAAATTATAACCTTGATTGGGCCTATAATACTAAAAACTGATCTTTTTCTGCTTTTATCAATTCTTTATTGGCTATAAATGTGCAATCATTTTATTTAAAGCCTTAACAAATAAGTTCATCCCGTTAAATGAACCTAAAGCAATGTGGTTCATCATGATATAGGATTTTAATAAAATCTTAAGTATTACCATCATTGTAACCATCATCATAATCCTGATTTTTTTTTGACATTAAGTGTTATATAACAGCTGAAAATACGAAATGGAAAATGTCAACATTTTATTTAAAATTATTAACACATCATATTTCCTTACAAAGAGACACTCAATATCCTCACTCCTCATCAAACAATAGTCTGCTTGTTGAAGGCTCAGTGGCAAGACACATGACCCTTCTGCTGATTGATTATCTTCAGTTTTGAAACTTAAATCTGCAACAAACCACGTCATATTAAGAGCTAATTGAGCGGCATATAATTCACGTTTAAAATTAAGCCTGCAGAGCCTTAATTAAAGAAAGACCAATCTGGAAATTCAAAACCACTCTCTAAATGTCATTAATAAGTAATTTAATGTAATGCACTGTGTGGTTTTCTCCTCAGTAATGTAATGGCATACTTTCACCACATAGAGGCATCATTGCACTAACTCTCACATCAAATGAAACCATAACAGTTTCCAATAGCTTTTCCTGTCAGTGGTTCCATAAAAAGAACACAGCAAGAACAACAGAGTAACAGCTGGGGGGCACCGGTGTTAAAACCTCCCCTTTTATCTTCCATCCCTTTATCCTTTTATCTTTTCCTTCTCCCAAGGGAGGGGGGACTGAAGGCAACTTTGCAGCAAACTATATAACTGTTCACTGTTGCACTGCTTTGGAAAAATTAATCTCTTGAAGACAAACCAACAAATCCAGAAGATTAGAAGAAGCATAAAATCTATTTTAACATGTGTGATGCCACAGAGAAACTTTATACAGGATACCCTTTATGCCCACTGCCACTACTCCGTCCGTTTGAGAGAATATAAAAGCTATCTGAAAGTGATCTATACATATTTGTTATTTTAATCATTTATGTGAGTTTGTGGATGAAAGATAAATTCATTAGTTTGCTCAAAGAGAAAAAGAAGATGACCATAACAAAACAGAATAATCCACAAATTAACTAAATATGAGTACACCCTTCAAAGACAAATCTAATTTGGCGCTGATATGGTCCAGATAATGCACATGGCTACATATTATCTTAATACTAAAACAACAACCACAACACCATGTCTCCCAGAAGAGTGCTTTTTAATAAATTCCATGTTATCTTCACAGACGATTCATTATTATTTTGTGATTAAGGGCTGGGGTCAATATCAATTAAGAGGATATTGTCTTTTTTCCTGGTTTTAAAGGCTGCATCACAGTTAAGTGATGTAATTTTCTGAACATCCCCACTCTATTCTAGCTTTTCTATTATTGCCTTTCCCCACATGGTCTTTTAATCCAGTTTATTGAGGATTATTTATTGAAAAAAATTACATTGTGTAAATCACAAACATAAGCATTGGTGTTAATCCCCGGTATACGTAAAATATAACTTGACGTTGTTCTTGTAGTAAATGTTATCAAATGCAGGAACAATTCAATATTACAGTAAAATATTTATTTAGACCAATTCCCATTGTCTGAACTCTTGAAAATGTTCCCAACATTTCTGCATGTTTGGTGCTGTAAAGTCCTTCTTCCTCATTTTAAATCAGTTATTTCAGTAATTGCACCACTTTCACAACCAGGAAATGTAAACATTATAAGACCTGTGCACAAATAGCCCTAGTATATTTAGGTAAGGAAAAACAAATAAGAATGTTTAAATTATGTCTTTGTTTCTTTTTAAACAAGCAAATGAAAAGACCAAAATCTGTCAGTCTTCTCAAATCCTCTTTTTGTTCACCATTATACGACATACACAGTATGCACAGTACATCTAAAGTGCAGGAGTTGAAAGAGACGACAATCTCATCTGTCATGTAAGAATTAACAATTTCCTTTTTTAGATGTCAAAAGCACTCAAAAAGGTGGAAGTGTAACCGAATAAGAAAGACGTTTGTTATGTAACTTGCCATTCATGTCAGTCAGCACAGCTGTCCTGGGTGATGCATATGTTCAAGACCATCCATTAATAGTGGAATGTGTGAGCTTTATGTCCATGCATTTGTGAATGAAAGTGACAGACTCTTGGCATCAAATTGACGAGAGCAATACAAGTGTTGTTGTTGTGGTGGTGGAGGGGTTGTCACAGCAGGGGCCACAGGACCCTATGGAGCGAGCACAAACATGGACGTATTGTGGTCAGCCACATGACCCCGCAGTGGTAGTAACCTGAGCAGGGCCCAGTCGTTGTGATAGCAGCCAGTGTTTGTGTTACATAACAAACATCCATTGAGCCAGTGGCAATAATAGTCCTGTATAGTATGTAGTACCAAGGGAAATCAATCTGAGTAGACTGAAAGAGGAGGAGGGTGTCAGGGCCATAGGAGCTGAACAGGTCTGATCTGCAGCTGTAGGAAACAGAACTGGCATGTAGACGTCAATGTACAGAACCAACGTGTTTAACAAGACAAGGTTTCAGCTGTTAGCAATGTCTCTAAGTGATGGTAAGCCATACTATGTACTTTAGAGATAAAGCGAGATGTGTGAGTGTTGAAAGATTGAAACCTGAAAGAACCTTGAGAATGTTCTTCACTGTGGTCTCAAGAGGCTTTCATTTTGAGATCAAACAAATATTCTTATGCCTCCTGCAGAGATGGGAGGGAATGGTAAAATAAGAAAAGGACAGTAATATTGAACAATAACATGGCATGCGTAACTGACAATAATAATAATCCCAGTGACATTCAGGGATCAGGGGTACAGCTTGTTGGCCTATTCCGATCATTCCAGCATACCTGCTGATTAAAAGAGGGATCCTACACTGAGGGAGGAATTTCTGACTCAGACTGACTGAGAGGGTGAGAAAGAGCGAGACGTGGAAAGATGAGGAGAGGAGGAGAAGGAGGAAGTGTGTATGTATAGTGAGTGACAGCTGAGAAGAGATTGGGGAGGAGAGCGATGGGATAATGTGGTCAGGTGGACAGACAGATTGAGAACGGTAGGATTTTAACACGGCTGTGGAGTGGGAGAGAGATGTAGCAGGTGGGAGAAGGAGGGAAGTTTGAAATGCCTTGTAGGTGGTGCACACGTATCTGCCAGCATAACAGGAGAGGCAGCGCGCGCGAGAGAGAGAGGGTACTGACACGAGAGTAGGAAAAGAGAGGGAGAGTCCAGTGTGTGTCTCCTGGGGAGAAGCACGTAACCAATATCCAGGTCTCCAGTAAACATATAGCAGCCTCCTCTACACAGCTTCTCTGCTACTGCATCGACCAAGGGGACAAAGGCAGAAATATCAGCTTCAATTCCAATTTAATTATCAGTCTAGCAGACTTAAGTTACAACAGCAGCTGATTGCATTGGCAGCACTTTGATAGGAGTCTATAGATGCTGAAAAAAGACACGACAAAGTGAGCAGAGATCCACCAACTGAACAGAAAATGACAGTAAGTATTGCACTTTATTCCTGTAAGGATGCATCAGCTGCAAACATTAAATGCACACCAAGTGATAATCTTGAATTCATTAAATTGTGTTTAAAAAAACAAACAATGGCAATAGAAACATGCATAAATGCAATTGTTTATTGTGTGTGCCACGGCAATTAAAACAAAAAAGTATTGTATAAGTGTGTTTTTGCATCTGATATGCATGAATGGTATAAATGCATTTGTGGCTTCTTATTGCAAAATGACTGGGAGGCTGGAAAAGTGTCGTTGAGAGGATTTTCAGCTTGTTATGCAGAGCGCTTGTAGTGGACTTCCAATGTGTTAATGACGTTAGCTCAAGCAGAGCCCCTTTTAAAATCTCAGATCCCCATGGCTTGATACCAAGGGCAATTAACTAGAGTAATACGGTTTGATAAATAATCACCTCACTGCACAAGGACATGCTTCTGGTGCTACACATGTTTAAGATGCATCTGTGGTGATTTATGTATCACAGCAACTAAATATAACGGTCCAAATGTGAGCTGCATTAAACTTAGTTGCAATTCTCCAAACAAAATAAATTATGGCATTAGTGGACTGACAAACATCTTAAGAATGTAATCCTGCAATAACCCTGATATGTGTTTACAACTTCGTGGACATATCCCAAGTAAGGATTGAATTCAGGAACTTAACACTGAGCTTTGAGTCCAAAAGTGTGAAGTTGGCATACATTAGGCTATAAAGACTTGGTGGCACAGAAGACGGCTACTGTGTATTGAGCTCCTCCTATACGCATAAAGATTTACTACATTCCTGTTCGCATTGCAGGTTTATTCATTTTGCAA